AAAAAAAAAAAAAAAAAAAAAAAAAAAAAAAAAAAAAAAAAAAAAAAAAAAAAAAAAAAAAAAAAAAAAAAAAAACACTTTGATTGTAAGATAATAAATTAACAACAACCACAACAAAAATAATAATAATAATAGTAATAATAATAGTAATAATAATAATAATAATAATAATAATACAAAGGATATTTTCAATAGAATCAAATAGATCATTTCTTTTATGTGTATAAAAAAACTGGGTCAAACTCTTTTAAGTAATTAAAATAAGTTTTTTAACGAGAATGACAAATGATACAAATAATAGTAATTCTCACTACATTAAAAATATTTTTTAAAATATTTGTAATATTTATAAATATTTTTATAAATATTTATGTTTAGACATTGATATAATATAATATAATATTTTTAATATAAATTCCCCCCCGAATATCAGGGGACGCAGTAATTACAGAACTGTGTGATAACGGCGGTTGTTTTTGGTCATTTGGTGTGTCATCAAAAAAAAAGGAAGTTCATCACGAATCACAAATTCAAGATTTTTTTTTTCTTTTTGTAGTGTGATAAGATCATCGAACACATTATTCCACACAAATTTCTTTAACCCCCTTCAATATATTTAAGTTTTTCTTGTCTTTTTTTTTTAAAAAAAAAGCTGAGATCATAATAATTAATAAACTTTGAAGTTTTTTGTTCAAATTGGGTAGTAGGCTGTGCTTAGTATTATTTTATTATATTTATTATTTACATTTATTACATTTATTACATTTAATTATATATTTATTATTACATTATTTATATATTCAATCATTATAATAATAATAAATATAATCTGTAATTGTAATAAATATTATAATATAATAAATATAATAATATTTATATATTTAAAATATTTTAAATCTTAACAAGTTTTTTCCTTTATATCACCTATCCAATTATCTATTTCCATTGAATGATTTTATAATAACTATATAGTATTTATCAAAGTATTATATAGTTCCTTATCAAATATATATATATATATAATATAAACTATGACATATTATATGATCTGTTTACCTTTCCAAAACCCGATTTGTTTCCCAATTTTCGTTACTGTTACTTCCTCTTTTTTATGTTGTTGTTAGTTCAGTAAATAATAAAAATTTATAATAGACACATAATATTTTTTATCTTTATTCTATTCTATTATTTATTATATATAAAAAACCTGTTGATTATAAAAAATATTGTATTTAACTTATTCTTGACCGTGTGTTGCATTTGTTTACTATTGCCAAAAAAAAAATATATTAACCTCGAATTTTTTCCATCATTCATTTTCTCAATTTTTTCTCAAAAAAAAAAAATCCGGAACCAAAAAAAAAAGTGCAAAAGTACCTTTGTTTTTTTTTAATATTAAATTAAAACTTATTTTCTTTAATTTATAAAAGTTTTAATTTTTCAATTTTATTCTCTTTTCAATATCCGAATACTCTGTTTTCTTTTTATTTCTTTTTTGGAGAAAAAGAATTGGTTTTATCGATTAAGCAGAATTCTTTTTGCATTGTCGCTACTATTCTTCTTCTTTATTGAAAATAATACGTATTTCTTTTCCCCTTTCTTGTATTATAAAACTTTGTGTATAGAAATTATAATCTTTTTGTATTTTATTTTTTCTCTTTCCAAGAAAATTTCTGAATTTTCTATCCTTGTTTCTTTATTAAAAACTTTTGATTCTATTCATTCTATCAATTCTTCTCATTCTGTCTTAAGTCGCAGGTCGAATTCACATTAAAAACATTTTTTTCCCCTTTTACTATTGTTTTGTGTATGGTTTTTCATTTTCTCATTTTCATTTTTTTTCTATAAAAAAAAAAAAAAGAAAAAAACAAACCATTACCTTACTAAAGTATAAACCAATCACTCCATATTTCGTTTTTCGTGAAACCACCCTTTTACAAAAAATAAAAATAATAATAATAAGATGTCTTCATCATCACCGCCTATTTGTTTTTGGTCACTTTTATCAATAAAAACTTTATGTTTTGTTTATATTTCACCTTGGCTTTCTAAAGCCCTTGGTTCTGAACAAAACTTATTACTTGGAACTTCATTTTTCGATTATTTCCATCCTGAAGAACAAGCATTGGCAAGACGCGACTTGTCAGAATTTGTTAAAAAGAAATCTTTAACTTGTTCGATTACAAGGTGATAAATTATATTCAAATATTACGAAACCACGTGATATTAGCAAAGATTTCTAAAGAATATTTTTATCTTTTGGTCTTCATTAAATTTTGATTTTTTTATAATTCTTTTTAGATGTCAATATAATAATGTTTCATCAATGCGACGAAAATTACAACAATCATCAATAATGAATTCACCACAAAGTCCACCACAAAATTCTTTTAAAAATGTTTCTTCAATATCAACGACAATAAGTAATGATTATGAAATAATGAATGTTGGAATGTATGTTGTTAGTCATGATATAGTACTGGCATGTTTTAATTCAGATCTTTTATATAATAGTGGTGAATCCGAATTCACCAAAGAGGTTTGTATATATTATTATTATTATTATTATATTTATTCTCACTTCAATAACGTGACATGACGATAATAATATAACTTATGATCATCTAATAATTTTTATAGGAGTTGAATAAATTATTCACCTTTTTGCACAAACATTCACTAACTGAGAGAATACCACAAGAAATATTTCTTGAAGAACCTAATAGAATATTTCAAATATTGGATACCAATTCAAAAGATTTACTTTTCACTTGGCCTGATCCAACCATTCCCGGTAGTCATAAAGTCTTAGATGTGTCTTATAATAAAGAGGATTTTTCAAGACTCCTTCGTGATATAGCTTCAAATTCCAATAATAATATTATTATTAACAAAAATATTAACAATAATAATAATAATAACAATAATAATAATAATAATAATAAGAGTTTAGTAGAAGATAATATTACAAATTGTTTGCAATCAGTTCATGACAAACGGGTGTTATTATTAAAATCAGGAAAATATAGTCAAGTAGAAAGTGTAATAATTCCATATGGCGATATTATATTTGCTTGTTTCCAAATATTACCATCATCATCATCAGTAGTTTCAATTTCTTTGGGTGGACCTTCAATAATCAGACCAAAAGCGAAATCAGCTCCATGTTCACCAGCCACCAATATTTGTATTTCTACAAAACGATTAAGATCTCCTGGTTCTTTGTCACCTTTACCAAGTTCTCATTATTATGATGATATTGGTAGTGGTAATAGTAATGGTAATTGTGGAGGCGAGGTTAATAACATTAGATATTTTCCTAGTCTTACTAATGAATTCAATCTTGATCAAAGATCAAGTAAACGTCAACGTCATCAACTTATTGATATACCAAATAAAAAAGAATTAGAATTTGTACCTCTTTTGCCACCAAAAACGTATCAACAACTTCAGTATCCACCTTCTATTCCTCCACCTACACCATCGCTATTACTTACACAACCAAAAGAACAACCTCATCAACAAAATATGTATTATACGTCACAAACAAGTTATCCACCGACAAGTTATCCACAAAATCAACCTCAAAATCATAATCATAATCATAATCATAATTCTCAACAACAACCACCACCATCACTGCCACTCCCACCACCGCCATCACAGCCACCATCGTTGACACCATCACCAACACCACCTCCATCACAAATACCACCACAACTACCACCAACACCATCACCATTATCACCACCACAGGTTGACCGTAGCCAAAATCACATGTTCACATCACAGAAACCTACCAGAAATGCTAATGCGGCTCACGGAAAGAAATGTGAAAGTTGTCATACAAGCTCTAGCCCTGAATGGAGAAGAGGACCCACTGGTCATAAAACGTATGTATTTAAAAAATACATATATATTATTAATCATTTTATAATAAAATAATCAAATAATCAATGAATATAATTTTTAATAAATATATTCCTTTTTTTTATATCAAATTATAAGATTGTGCAATGCATGTGGTTTAAGATATTCTAGAACACTTGCCCGGGAGAATCGTAAACGGGAACAACAGCAACGTGAACAGGAACAACGTTTTCGTGAACAACGAGAACGGGACGAAAGGGCTCGAGAAAAAGCAGAAGCCCTGATGATGCAAAGGATCATTGAGCCTTATAATCAATACAACAATTTAAGAGGTGCACAAGCACCACCACTACCACCATCGCCACAATCCCAATCACAACTTTCACATCATCAACCATCAGTGGCTACAGCTGCCACAGCTCTTCCCCATCCGAATTCGAATCATTATCACTCAACCTTACCTCCAATAAGTCATCATCTTTCTCCTCATCATAATAATCATAATCATTTTCATCATAATCATCATAATCCTCATCAAAATTCATCAAGATATGTAACATCTTCAAATCAGATTGAAAATACATCACCTTTGTCTCCTTATCAAATTCACCCTTCACCATCACTACCACCACCATTACCACCACAACCACCATCATCATCATCATCAAGTAGTTCTATTAACGAAGGAGATTACCCATATCAATTACAACGTCCACCTCAACAAATCTATCATGATAGATCAAACGTTATTAATAATAATGGATCAAATTTTCAAAATAGAAATCATTATGATATTAGAGAACAATTAAATGGTCCCCACCACCACCATCATCGTCATCACCATCATCACCCATCGGTACATGAAAGTGGTCGATTTGCTTCCGCTGCAATGAATAATGTGATGAATAATATGCCTCCACCTCCAAATACTTATCCTAAGGCTTATTACGGACGTGCTCAGTAATATCTAATAAATTATAATGGTCATATTATATATATTATTTTAATTCGTAAATTTCTAATTTTTTTTTTCTTGTATATTTTTCTTTTTAATCCTTTTTTTTCTCTCTCTCTCTATTATTATCTATTATTATCATCTATAATTATCATCTATAGTAAATACAAATAAATAAACATATATATAAAATATATAGTAAATGTATAGGTAAATATAATTTAAATATAAATATAAATATATACACACATAAATATAGTAAATATAGTAAATACAATAATAAAAATATAAAACCTATGTATAGAATTATTATACATATCACACACAAAAAGCATTTATCTCAACTATGAAATTTGGTTTTTTTTCTTTTTTTCTTTCATTAATTTTTTTTATATCAAGTTTTTTTATGTTTTTTATTTAATTTTATATATATCAATATATATATAATAGTTTTAAGTATAATAATAATATAGATAGAATGTTATAAAATAATAATTAATGAATAAATTTAAGACCATATAATTATTGTTATAATTTTTTTTTTTTAATTATGGAAAAAAAAAATGAAATTAATCAAATTTTTTGACTCGAGATCAAGAGTGTTACGTAAGTAAAATTCGTGACGTCACGAGGTAATTTCGATTTCACCACCACCAAAATTATTTAACTCTTTTTTTTTTCCCTTACTGCAAGCCTTCAACCCTTAGCGTTATTACTTTTTCGTTAATTCTTATGAATTTATTTTATTAATGTTATTAATTATGCTATTATTACTTTTATGTTAATTCTCAATGATTATGCGAGTTGTTAATTGATTTACTTTTAAGTTAATCCTAACAATTGTTTTTTATTTTTATTGTTCTTGTTTATTACATAATTAAAGGAAAAATTCAAAATATATAAGGAACATGTATTCTTGAGCCATGTAATAAATTACAATTATGAGGAATTGATAATAATAAAAATTTATAGTTAATAATCAAGTTTATATTTGATATACGTATAAAAGAAGTTATTCCATAAACTATGGTCCCAATATTTTAAGTGCCTTGCATTTGTATTACCAAGGCAAGTAAAGATTATTTACTTTATTGTATACAAACCATTAAAACTGTTGTTTGCACAACTTAATGAATAGTATAACTAAGTCTATCATAAGATTGAACCATTATTTCTATTTTCTCACTTTATACTTACCTTGTATGCTATCATAGACTCATGATATTATTAGGGAAAAGTTTATATTTCTTAAATTTTCAATGTATCAAATAATATCCTTCAACACCATATTGAAATTCTAATGTTAAAGAAATTGGCCACAAAAACTATGGCTACCTACTCACGTTCTTCAATAATATCAAGACCTTCATGGTTTGATTTACATAGCTGAAGGCTAAAAAAAAAAATGATGACAAAGCAGATGATGATGATGATGAGGAAACTAATAGTTTTGACATTCTTTCAAAAGGAACAAAACAGAAAAAAATCTAATTGGGAGTATAAAAATTCGTGTAAAACGAAAAGAAATATTGAAAATGTGGATGGGTTGTGTTCAACTTGTTTATAATATGATTGTTGATACATATAACAATATAATAAAAACTATAATGTAAGTCTTTTATTTTCGTAATTTACATCGTGAACATATTGACAATGGAACATGAACCTGTACCTTACAATGTTCTCGATGAAGCAATCCAAGCTCAGGAGCTTGTTAACAATAGAAACTGAGAGGCACAGAAGCAAGGACAATCTATTGTATGCTGTCTTCATTTTTTTACAAAAAAAGAAATCTCAACAAACAATAGTTATTCGTGCACAAAATTGTAAAAAGGTTTTCCATTTTTTACTCTCGTCTTCTTCAGCCACATGTTATCATAAATGACAAGGAGAATCAAAGTTTGTTCTTTAGATTCAGATGTTTGTACATTTTTAATTTTATTTTTTTAACTCATGGCTGCAGAGAAATAAGCAACCAAAGTTTAAAAAGTTTAAAAGGTTATTTGTCTTGCATCTGCATGCAAATGCGATGTGCATAGATACAGATGCATCTTCGAATCAAAGAACCTTGTAAAATGAATGTCATAGGAAAACTGCTCCGTGGATCTCACATACCTTTGATATTTATTGTTATTTCCTAAATTTAATGAAGGAGAAATGGGAAAAAGGTTGACATCAGAAAATTAATAATAATAGAACAGAATGTAAGATGATGACATGAGCATATGCATGCAAGATTTAGACTTTCGTCAAAAAAGAAAAAGAATTCAGGAAACATGTGTTTCATACAAACAAAACATGTTTAAAATGTGGATATCTATTGATAGATATTTTCCTTTGGAGCCTTAGTTATTTAAACTATGCCATAATTGACTAGTGTTGACTATTGGGAAGCATAAATGCATTAATAATAATGATAGTCATGTGTATCGAAAATCAATCCTTTTAAAATTTACTTTGAAGTTTTGGATTTTTGGCATATCTACTAATTATTTCTTTATTTTTATACCAACAGATTCTTGAAACTTTTAATTTATGTCAATTATTGATTCGCATTGATATCAGTGGTAATTGATTAAAAAAATCTAAAAATCTATACGTTATTTCTCATGCACTCCTTAACATTAGAATGTTAAGGATGTCAAGAATGTGAGGCCTATTTTTATCTTTTTGATTGATAACGATTTCTCCCCGACTCGTACACATTCAATTTTAACTTTTAGAATACATGTATGTAATTAATGAATCATTCGTAAAATTAAGATAAATAATAAATATTTTTATTTATTTATTTATTTTCTCCAGATATATTTATATATATATATTTTTAATGATTCCATTTAATTGGTTTAATTGGTTTAATGGTTTAATTAATTATTATTATTTTTTTTTTTTGAAACGATTTACAACTTATTCCAAGTAAGTTATGTTTAAATTTGTTATACATTTCCCGCCCAAACAAAAATAACAAAATTGAAACGGGAATTGGCGCCAAATATAATTTTATGGTAAAATCTCCTTGCGTTAATACATTTATTTAAATTAGTGTTATCATGATTTTAATGCAAAATAAATTACCTAAATTGTTTCACCGTGAATAGTTTTTCCGATCTGATATAAGTGGGTATGGTATCCCGTGAAATTAATTTTGTGAAAAAAAAAAAAAAATTATAAAAATTTTTATTTTTATTATTTAATCTGACCTTCGGTGATTGTCACAGGCTTATCTGTTATTGTGCATATTAAAGGAATTATGGTTAGTCGACCTTTGTTTTTTTCGGGCTTATTTTTCCTAACGTCACACTGTCGAATACTGGGTTGATTTTACACTCGCTCAAAATAGATTAGATTAGCACCAGTCGGATTTTATGGACTAAATTGTCTACTTTGACTATTTCCGACCTTAGATTTGACACTATTTGTCACCTTTATATGTCACCTAAATCACCGATGAGGAAAAAAGGAAAAGCATTTTCTTTTGTTCTGGTGAAATTTACGCACTTTGAAAATCATCAGGGAAAATAGTAATTACCGATATTGATGCATATTATAGATAATTCTCAAAATGGTTCGGATTAACTCTAGGAATATCAAAATTGTCAACCCCAAACACACGAAGCTAACGATTTTTAATCAAAATATATTTTTAATTATTTACCTTATGTGATATTTATGTTTTTGATTGTTTATTTTATGATCATTTACTATGTTTTATTATTTACTCATAGTAATTATTACTTCGAGATAATCGAATAAATATATAATTGGCTAGGAGATAATAAAGAACTTGTTTAAGGAACAAAAGTACGTCATTCGTTTCAAATAAGTAAAGATCTGACCATACCAAAACAAGCTAAAAAAAGGAAATTATTAAGAGTTGAGTGACAAAATCATCGAATTGTTTCTTTCGTTTTATTATTCTATCCCATCTATCCTTTTGCAAACGATTTCATATGACTTTTATTGATTAATTTAACGTTTTCATTCATTCATGAATCTTTTAGAAGCTTTAATCGACAGTTTTTTTATTGGGGGGATTTTGTACCAATAGATTGGTCACAATGCTTATTGTATATAATGGACAAAAAAAAATTACCCAAGTTGGATTATAATCAGAAAGAATTCATCCAAATAATGAAAACAAGAAATCATATAACTTCCCATAATTAGAGATATGTGATGTATGATTATAAGCCACTTTTCCAATGTTTAAATTTTTTTTTATTCATGCGAAAGGAAAGTTTGGATTTTCAGCTTTGATGACGATAATTTTCTGCACAATTCTAATGGTGTATATCATTTAGAAGAAAACAGTTGATGCGCAAATATTTATAAAATATTGTCATGTTTATATGGTCAATATTGTCACAAATTATCTAGAACCTTAAAAAAATTATATAACACTATGTTTTCGAGAAATTGCATAGAGTTACAAATACAACATAAATTACGAGACACACGCTTCTAAATTCTATGTTGATTTTCGATTATAAAAAAGTTCGAAAAAGTGGTATCGAATCTTCGCCCTCTCTTTTTGGTACAAAAGAATTTTTTATAAAAAATTCAACTACTTTTTTTGAATATAAAAAAATTTTTTTTTTTCGTATCATCTAAATATTCCAAACCAGTATCTCCAAAATAATGCCCGTCGCTACTAATAATTCGTTTGGCTGTTGCCCCAAACCTAAATCTTTCATTTTTGATAATTCCAAGATTTATAAATCAATTACTTTTTATTTTCCAAAAAAAACCATTACGACAATGCTATTTTCGAAATTTGGTAAGTAATATTATTTCTTTCGCCTCGACATTTTATTGTATTATTTATTTAGTATTCTTATCACATTATATTGTATTATGTCATAATGAACTTCTTATTTTAATTTGACCCTTGATTCTTTGGTCTAGATAGTAATTATAGTTACAATTTATCCTAAGCCATCAAGCCATTCACATGATTTTTTTGTATCAATTTCTAAAATATTTTTGTTTTTCGAATTGAGAATTCTAATTTTTTCCATTCTCCTTATTACCATAAAATTTTCGCATTCCTTTTTTTCACTTCCTATAATGAATTTTATTTACTAAAAAAAAAAAAACAAAAAAAAAAACAAGAAAATTATAATAATATATAGAAACATAGAGCATCTATATATATCTCAAAGATAACGTCATAATGCCTTTCTGGAAAAAATTTAAAAAGAACAAAATTCCACATTATGTACCTCATTCAATTAGTATAGTGGATTTTGAAAGTACTAGCACTCCTTTGGTTACTAAAAATTCGACCATGACAAAATTAAGCAAGACTTTTTTGAAATACTTTCAGAATACTACAACTTCTGCTACTTCTTCTTCTACTGCCTTTACAACTATTAGTATTACTACCACTGATTATAATAATAATAATAATAATAATAATAATTCTACTACTATTATTACTACTACTACTACGAAAACTCAACAACAACATTCGGAACCAAAACAAAATTTATTAACCTCAAAAAATTTTAAATCTGTTTCAGCTCAAAGCGATATGATTAATCATTTACCGGTAGAATTAATCAAACAAATCTTTAATTACCTTGTTGAATCAATTGAACCAATTGATTCTCTTAAAGTTTGGAGGAATTATTTTTATTTGCCGGAACATGATGATAGTGCTTACTATCCGAAAGAACGATTAATTGCTATCGAGAAGCAAAAATCCATTCTTCGAATGACATGTGGACGATGGAACGCGATTTTATTGGGATTACTGAATGAAATCAATATTGATATCAGTTTAACAAAGGTATTAAAAAAGAAAAAAAAAAATTAATCATTACTCCTTTTTTTTTTGTACACAGAATAACTATTATTTAAATAATTAATTTTTATTTTATTTTCTTTTATTTTTTTCTTTTATTTTCATTTTAGTCTCACATTTTAGTTAGTGATTTTCGTCCCACAAATTTACAAAGACTCACGATTGTGAATAATGGTCAATCAAAGGCTGTTCAAAGTAGACTTGATGATTTGTTTATGGAAAAAGAATTCTTTCATTTAAATAATCTATCCATTAATGGATGTTCAGATTTAACAATTAAAGGGTATGTAAACGAAAAAAAAAAATAAGGGATTAATTTTATTTATTGTATCAAGCTATTCAAGTTATTCACGTGATGCGTTTCGTTTAATTTAAAATTTATAGGTTAATGAATCTTCCGAAACAATTAACCGAATTAAAGATAACCAATTGTCCTCAAAGTTTGTAAATTTTTTTTTTTTTTATATTTATTTATAAGCATATTAAAAACACCATTAAAACCTTAAACTTACTATATATATATATATATGTATATATTACAATTTCATTTTACACCTTTACAATTTTTATTATTTTTTTAATAGTTACGACTCAAGATATAATAATATTAATGATGAAAAACTTGAAAAACCTCAAACATCTAATGATTAACACAAATCAAATTTTCTTGGACGATTCACTCTTTACTGCGATTCAAGAAAATTTATTAAATCTTTGTAAATTAACAATCTTAATACCTTGTGAATTTAAGACAGAAGATTTGGAAATCCAGTTACGAAAATTTCCAAATCATATCACTGAATTAGTTTTATCATACGATAGTCCTCAAAATATTCATTATCCTTTAACAATGAAAGATTATGAAAGAATGAAACCAATCGATGATGATGGTAATACTTTAAATCAACAACAAGTGATTATTCTAGATAGTACAGATTTGTATCCCAAATCCATGACAAGATTAGATATTTCTCGATGCCTTTTTAAGAATAATGTTTTTGCATTACCGAACACATTGACCCATTTAACAGTTAGTTATCCAACTTTACCCGAAAATCATGAAAATATTAAATTACCTTCAACTTTAGAATATCTTAACATTTCTGGATTTATATATCACATTTCATATGAAAGTGAATCAATTCATCAATATCTTAATTACGGAGAACAATGGATACAAATGTTACCATTAAATGCGCCATCTTTACATACCTTAATCCTTCATTTATATACTCATACTCCCAAAAATTTATTTTCTTATATCAAATCACGTTACGCTCAAAGTTTAAAATTTTTGGATATTTGTATTTGTTATTCACCAGTGATTGAAATCGAAACATGTAACTGTGAAGATAAAAATCTTCTCGGACAATGTTGTCGAAGGAGTATGATTCAATCTTTAATTAATTTAACGGAATTACGAATTCATAATCAAGTGACTGATGGAGATTTTGAAAATTTACCAAATTCACTTAAAACATTTTGTTTATATTCACATTTTGAGGAACATATTAGTAAATCAATATTGGAAAATATTAAAAAGGATGATATTATTCAATTAAAAACTATTCCTCAAGGATTATTTGATTGTTCGGAATCTACTACTACGGAATGTATTTGTTCATGGTTTATTACAGGAAAATCATGTTTATAATTAAATTAGTACTGAATAAATCTTTTTTGTAAATATATTTTTATACATACATACATATATACATATATACATATATACATATATATAATAAAGTTTAAATTTTTTTTTTTTTTTTTATGATATTTTTAAATATTCATTTTGATCATAATGTGAGTTTTTTTTTTTTTTTTTTAATACGACGACGTATCAATATTATTTACTATTATAAGTGATTTCATTTTAATAGTTATTATTATCTAAATATATATCTGCTTGCTGCAAGAATTTTTATTTTCATTGAAAAAAAAAATGACATATAACAAATAATAAAAAAAGAATAATAAGAACAAAATCAGAAATTTTTTTTAGTAATAATAATAATAATTTTTTTTTTAAAAGAAAGTAAAAATGGGATGACTTGCCTCACTTTTGATCTATCTATATAGATAAAACTCTCGGAGTCTGTTTTGCATTTTTTAAACATATTTGTCAAAGATATTTATATCTATTTTTATTTTTTTTTATGTCAATAAATGTACAATGATACAATTATGAAACTTTTAATATATTTAGATATAAAAATATGTAACATGTTTTATTAAATCAAATTAAATCATATTATTAATATTAAAAATATGTGTTTTGATATGAAAAAAGAAATGACATAATTACAAAAGATTTTTATTATTAAACTTTTTTTTTCATAATGTGACATATTTAAAATAAAATTGAAATAATTTCTATATTTTACTTTATTCCCAAATTTAAATTCTTTTATTAATATTATTAATATTATTTTATATATATATATTTTTTTAAAAAAAAAGAAAAACTTTGCTAAATTGAAGAGTTTGTTTAAAAAAAAAAATAGTGGCCAAAAACAAAACAAACAAAACAAATATGCCAAGATTTAAACATATGAGAACGCGTATCAATTTAGATGAATTTCTACCTACCAAACAATTTTTATGCGAATCAATGACAAAAGATGTACAGCGTGAAAATCATCAATTGAACAACAATAACTCAAAATCAAAATCATTATTTCCTAATAAAAAATCCATTCTCAGGTCAGACAATATTTCTCAATCCGAAATTAGTAAGATAAGAAGAATCATAAAGAACATGATTAAAAGGAGGAAAAAACCTGTTGACGGGGCCATCATTATTACCTCATGGATTGACGAGGATTTACGATGTCTTAGACGTCAAGGAGTTCGATTAATTCAGGGTGAAACTATGGGAAAATACCGACTAATTGATAAAGTGAAACATAAAGAAATGATTTTAGAAATTAAATGTGATGATGATGACGATAATAATAAAGAGAAAAAAAGATATGATTTTGATGAAGAAGAAAAATTGAAGATAAAGATGGTAATGGAAAAAGATGAGGAATTTATTTTTTTATCAAGAGTGAATCTTATTTGGAATGGTAATAAAATTGAAATGCAAGAAATTAATGATCAAGAAATGAACATAAATGATAATATCGATAATAATAATAATAATAATAATATAAACAATCTAGATGATGATGATGATCATAAAGAAGATGTGATTAGTTTGGATGCTTCCGATCCTGAATTTGATGAATTCGAGTTAGAATTAGAAAATGAAAAATTTAACAAAATGGAAGAACGAAATGATAATGAATATAAATTTGAATGTGAATTTGACGATGAAAATAAATATGAAAATAGAAAATATTATTATTCAAATAATTATTCAAATAATTATTCAAATAATTTGTCAAATAGATCAAATAGATTTGATTATTATAATTATAATGATAATAATGATGATACTGGAAATCGGTTAAAAGGAAGAATTAATTGGGCTTAATTTTTTAATTTCGAGTAATTATTAAATAATCAATTCATTAATTAATAAATGATTTAATGAATTAAAGAAAAGAATTAAGAATTTTATTTTTATATCTTTCATCACGTCAGATCATCTCAAAAAAATGAAAAAATAAATTGGCTTATAAAAAAAAAAAATTGTGCATATTCCATTCATTGAGATTGAGTCATTGAGTTGATTTGTTTGTATTATTGAATTTTTGACCCTGATTACGTATTCAGTATTCAAGCATACGTTATTTCATTTCACCATTTTTATCTACCATTTTTTTTATAAATACCATAAAATCCTATAAATATCATAAAACTTTCCCACTTGAGATACCAAGAAAAATTCGGTGAACAGTTCCGCCAAGAAACTTTTAAATAACAATTTTTTGTTTTCTTTATTAAATAATCATTTTTTATTTCTATTTTTTTTTGTTATTGTCTTTACATTATATATATATTTCTTCTATAAATAAATAAATCTCTATATATATATATATTTATATATCTCTTTTGTAATTCTGTATATTCCACACTTCTTCCACTCCTATTCATTTATTCCTTCTACGTTTATTTCTGCATTCGATATTTTATTTATATATATATATATATATATATTTATTTATTTATTTATTTATTAATTTATTTATTTATCAAAATAAATGGCCACTGCAAGCTTAAAAATAACACACTTAACTTCGGTTCGTAAACTTATTGTACCTTTGTTAATCAAGTGGGCAGACCTTGAAGCACAGGTAAAAAACAAGTTCAAAGTTTAGAAACTTCGCAAAAAAAAAAAATAAATAAATAGAGATAATTTAATTAATTATCATTCATTATTTATATTATTTAAAAATTATTGTTATAATAAATAATCATAAATCATTTCAAATTTTTATCATTAATCATTATAAAATTTATCAATCATTAATTTATTTAGATTCGTACAATATTCTCTATTCCTTCCGATACAAGTTTCCTCTTACGTTATCGAGATGAAGATGGAGACCTGATAACATTAAATTCAGATCTTGAATTTGAACAAATTTTGAGTCAAGATGCTCGTATAAAGTTCTTATTAACTTTACCTCAAGATGAAATTGATCAACCTGATACAAATTGGGATGTAAGTTCTATTAGTTCAGCTGATACTATTGGTACTATTAATGAAGAACCTGTCTTGGTAGATAGTCAACCACAACCACAAATGCTGCATCGACAATTACAATTAGAAGCGCATCTACAACAACAACAACTACAACAAGCGCAAGCACAAGCAGTACAACTGCATTTACAATTACAGGCCCAAGCCCAAGCTCAACAACAACAACAACAGCAAGCGTTAGCGCAAGCACAAGCAGCTGAAGTACAGTTACAATTACAAACCCAACAACAACAACAACAACAGCAACAACAACAACAACAACAACAACAAGAAAGTGAAAAGGATAATGATGATGATACAGTGGATTTGATTGATGATATGGATGCTGAAGGTGATAATAAAACTAATGATTATGATGATTATGACTATGGTGATGATGATGATGATGATGATTATGATTTGATGAAGGAGGGAGAAGAATTAAGTAGTAAAAATTTAAATAAAGATTTTACTGCCACCTCTGCTACTACCGGGGTATCAAATGTTAAAAGATGGGTGGAATCTAATGAAATCAGTGATCCCTTTGATATTAATTCATTTGAATCTAGTGACGATGATAATGATTTGATGAAAGGAGAAGAAAGAGAAAGAGAAGAAAAGCAGAAAGAATTGGCAAATAAAATATTAGAGAATAATAATTTAGATACTGTGATGATGTCAGTAGAAACTACTGATAATAATAATAGTAATGTTAGTAGTAATAATATTATTAATAATATTGGTAACAATAATACCATCGTTAATATTATTAATAGTAATGAAGAGAATTTAAAGGATTTAGATAATCAACAAAAAAATAATATCGATCATCATCAAGATACTATTCAAGAATCATCATCGTCTTCTTCGTCACAATCCCAATCACAATCATCTACTTATCATCATAACCTTTATCATCTTCATCAAAATAAATTAGCTCGATTAGCTCGATCACCTCAACAAAATTATTCTTCCATCACCAAACAAGATTCTCCCACAATCAAATTAGATTCCCCCACTATCAAATTAGATTCTCCTACCATTAAACTTGATTCTCCCACCATTAGACAAGATTCCTCTTCCTCCTCTACTAAACGAGATTCTTCGACAACTAAAACTAAAGAATTTATGAATAAATTCGATAATGTTATTCAAAAGTGTCATCAAGTATTTGATGAAAATCCAGAATTGTTGGATAAAGCGAATTCAGTAATGGATCATGTATGTTATTTTATTTATTTTATTTTTTAAAAGTTCATTATATTAATTATATTATTTTTTTTCACATGATTAACGTATGATCACATATAAATAATTTTAATTAAATATTTAATAGGTTTTGGAAAATACACCAACGTATATTGAATTTATTTTAAATATGTTAAATTCCGTGAAAGAACAAAATAACAATTCATCATCATCAAATGAGGCTTCTTCTTCTTCTTCAACTTCACAACAGCAACAACAACAACAACGGGATCAAAATGATAATCTTCCTTATATTGTTCATATGCCAGGCAGTTTTCCTCAATCTAGGAGTAAAATAACGCATTTATCTCAACCTCCTCCATTACCTCTTCATGCTCCCAATCGACTTCATATTGATAATGCTGAGGATAATATTGATGATTATGATGATGATGATGATGATAATAATAATAATAATAATAATAATAATAATAGTGGTAATAAAAATAATAATAATACATCACTTCCCACCTTTTTATCAACATTCGGAGTTCCACCTCATAATAATCGTCATCATCATCACTATCGTCATCATCATCATCATCATAATCAACATAATCAACATCATATTTTACCACCACGAGCACCTGCTCCAGCAGGTCCTCTACCTCCACCTCCACCCCCACCTCTAACTCCACCAAGATCAATAATAAATTCATCATCATCATTATTATTTGGTGTTAATGATAATCGATCACAAAATATTGGTAATCATCATCTTAATCCTCTTAATCCTCCATTTACTTTACCAGAAATTTCTCTTCCACCTTTTCCTGGAAGTTTTCCATTAACAAATAACAATAATAATAACAATAACAATAACAATAACAACAACTTCAATAATAACTTCAATAATAACAATTACAATTATAGTAATTATAATAATGATGATAATAATGATTTACCTAATATAACTAATAAAACGAAGATGATGCCACCATTATCCAAATATTATTCAAATGAATTAAGTACCCTTCGAGATATGGGATTTACGGATACTGAATTAAATCATAATCTTCTTCAAAAATGTAATGGTAATGTTGGTATGGTAATTGATCAGATTCTTTCAAATGCACAAAGGGGATCATCATCATTATCATTATCTAGTTCCATTTCTTCTTCCTCTTCTTCTTCCTCCTCTTCTTCCTCCTCTTCTTCCTCCTCGTCATCATCTAATCCCCCTCCTCCTCAATCATTATCACATAAATTATCAGACAGACGTAGAACTCCTTATTCTATGTCACGACAACGTCCAAGTTCAAGTCCAAGGTATCTTTCTAGAAGAGGAAGTTATGATATGCTTGATGTTTCATCATCAAATAATAATAATAATAATAATAACAACAACAATAACAATAATATGAATATGAATACAGATGATTAGATGATGATTAAGATATAATAAGCAAATATGTCAAGATGGTTCAAAAAATGTGCGTAACGTAAAATATTTCGATATCATCATTATTTTTTATATAGAGTTCTCTCTTCTGATATTTTTTTTTTGTATGTAATTTATTTATTTTTATATGTTGAATATTTTAGTTTATTATTATTTTTTTTTTTGACTTTTTTGACTTGTATTTATTCATTTTGATTTATTTTTTTTTTTACAATTTTTTTTTTATTTTAAATAAATATTATTATTATTATAAATATTTTGATTAAAAAATTTTTTTTTAAAAAAAAAAAATTAAAAATTTAAATTTTAAATTAAAAATAAATTTGTATTTTTATACTTCTTTACAAATGATTTTTTTTTCTTCCCAGGATCCCTACATAAAATAAAATAATAAATAAATAAATAAATAAATAAATGGAGGAATGATTAATTATTAATTTATTATATTAATAATGAAATTTCTCCTGAAAAGATATGGTTCTCGCTTTTTTTAGTAGTAGTAAACACGTTTGTAAATCAGGAGATCAGAAGTACACAAAAATTTATAAATAATATATATATATATATATAGGTGATGATTTATTAAAAATATATATATATATATGTATATTTTTTCATTCCATTATTTTCCTTCTCTATCCTCCTCCCATTTTTGATCAAATTTTTTTTTATTTAAACAATGACCGAGATCTCGGAGAATGCATTAGAACATATAGAACATAATTATAATAATCTTAATATTAATAATTCTAATAATTCTAATAATAATAATAATAATAATAATAATTATTATTATTCTGATAATAATTCTGATAATAATAATTCTTCAGATATTAATTCTGATAATAATAATTCTTCTGATAATAATTCTTCCGATAATAAATTTGATAATAATTCTGGCAATAATAATTCTGATAATAATAACGAATCAAACAACGTAGTAGTAAGAAAAGATTACTATCCAGAATTTAAAACAATTCGGTAAGCGAATTTAGTTCATCAAGAAACCAATTAGAAGAATTGTGTAAGTTTTTCGATAAAGAAAAAAAAATTTAAATAATAATTCTAGAATTAATGATATATTTACATTTTATATTATATATATATATATATATATATTTTATCAATTGTTTATTTTTTTTAGTGTCTACACTGGTACATTTAATGTAAGTGGACAAGATGCAGTTGAAAGTTTGACGCCTTGGTTGGAATGTGAAGAAGATATTGATGTTTATGTAATTGGGTAAATATTTATTTATTTTTTTTTACTTTTGATTAATATTTTTATATTAGATATCAATTTTTAATATCATTTTTTAATACCATTTTTTAATATCATTTTTTTTAATATCATTTTTAATTAATACTTCTTAAAAAAAATAGATTTCAAGAAATTGACTTGAGTGCCGAAGCATTTTTTTATGGTACGAAAGGAGACGCTTGGATTGGTGCAGTAGAAAAAGCGTTAGGAGAGAAAAAAGATAATTATTTGAAGGTTATTCCCTATCACTATTATCTTTATTATTAATATAATCATCATTCTCTTTATTAATTTATTTATTTATCATTTTCTCTTTTATAATTAATTAATTATTTTATTTATTTATTTATTATTAATCTGATTTAATTATAAAAAATTTTTTAGTTAGAATCTAAACAATTGGTCGGAATACTTTTAACGATTTGGGTAAAGAGAGAACATTGGCCATATATTAAAGAGATTAGAACTGATTATGCAGGTGTGGGATTAATGGGAATGCTGGTATGAATATATATTTATATTTATTATTATAATTTATAATTTATATTTATTATTATAATTTATAATCTATATTTATTATTATAATTTATTTATTTATTTATAATTAAGGGTAATAAAGGAGGAGTAGCTATAAGATTCCGATTTTATGATTCATACATATGTTTTGTGAATTGTCATTTGGCAGCAGATCCCAATGGATTAGAAAGAAGGAATCAAGATTATATGGAAATATGTCGAAGAATGACGTTTCCTATTAATACTAGTGAAGGGTATTCTTCATTATATGGTTGGGTGGGAGGTTATATTCCGTCTTCAGTTAAATATGCTAAATATATGATTAGTTTATCTGGTTTATCCAGTAGTCTATCAATAACTTCTACTTCAAATGCAACAAATACAATTATGAATGAAGAAACAAGTACAATTATAAGTGAAGAAACTATAAATGAAGAAGCAAATACAATTATAAATGAAAATACAAGTGATACAAATACTATAAATGGAACTGAAAATGAAATTGCAAACACAATTGCAACTACAACAACAACAACTACAACTATTGCCACAACAGAAACTACAACTACTACTACTACATCTGATAATAATAATGCAACAACTATAAATAAAAAAGAAACAACACCAACAATACCGACAACACCGACAACACCAACATCAATAACTAGAAAAAGATCATCAACATCAACAACAGCATCCAGTAATGATGTTATGGGAGGGGGAGTTGTATTATCTATATTTGATAATGAGTAAGTAATAATAATAATAAATAAATAAATAAATAAATAAATAACTATAATAATAATAATAATAATATATCCACTATTTTTTTTAGTCATTTAATTTGGATGGGAGATTTGAATTATAGAATTGATAAATTGACTGTAAAAGTTATTAAATCTTTCTTGGACAGTGGAAATGCCAAATATTTACTTGATCATGATCAGGTGATCTATTTTTTTCTTTGTTCATTGTTGAAATCATATTTTTATCAATAAATAATAATATTAATAATATTCATAATATTTTATAATATTTATAATATTTAAAATAATAATAATATTCATAATAATATTAATATTCATTATAATATTTATTATAATAAATATTATAATAGCTTAATATACAGAGAAAGAAGAAAAAAGCATTTTATGAATTTGAAGAAGGTGAAATTTCATTTCCACCAACTTATAAATATGATTTTGGAACAAATGATTTTGATAGTAGGTAATGAATTTTGTATTATTTTATTTATCTATAATGATTATATTATTTATTTGATTTATTTGATTTATTTGATTTATGATTATTATTACTTATTATTATTTATTTATTTATTTATTTATTATTATTTATTTATTATTAAAAGTGAAAAACAAAGATCACCAGCATGGACAGATAGAATATTATGGAGAAGTAAAGAAAGTAATTGGTGTAAACAATTGACATACAAAAGTCATATGGATATTATGTTTAGTGATCATAAACCTGTTAGTTCAATTTTTGAATTAAAGGTTTGTCAACCAGATTTATTATTATTATTATTATTATTATTAATATTTTCACATTATTACTTATAATATTTTTACTAATGATATTTTTACTTATAATATTTCTACTTATATTCATTCACCTCTAAAACAATATTTAGTTAAAAATATATCCACCTGAAGAAGAGGATGATGAAATAATTATGCATGATAATGTAATTATATTAAAAGATAATGGATGTAGTGAGGTATAAATTTTGTTAGATGTATCATTCCTTATTAATTATTTTAAAATTTACGTTTTATTAAAAATAGATACCAAATCAATATTAATAACAACAATAAATAATACATCAACACCTTTATCTTAAATTTCCAATTTCCAATCCTCGAATATATCTAATAATTAATATTCATAATTCATAATTTATATAATAATTGAATATAATATAACTAGAATGAATTTTTTATTTATTTTAATTTGTACTGCATCACATGTTATATTTTTTTATATAATTACAATATCAGAGAGAGATATATAATTTAAATATTTAATGTAAATACATAATTTATTTAATTTATTTCAATTAAAATACATAATTTTTTTTTAAATATTTTTTAATTTAAATATTCAAAATAAATAAATGAAGAAACCTACAATATATAAACAAATGTGAATATAAATAGATAATAGTAATAATAATAATTCAGTCTTCGCAGCATTCTCCTCTTCTTTTGTAAAAATAATAATAATAATTATAATTATTATTATTAGCATCGTCATCACCTAAAGTAATTATCCAAAATCTTGTTGTCCAAAATAATTTCTTATAATAGTAATTATCATATTTAAAGATGTCATAGTTGTAACCACCTATTAAAATAAAGAAAACATCGTAATATTAAAAATTAAATATAAAGAAAGATAGAATATCAAATATATATAAATACAAAATGTAAAATAACCAAATATAACTAATATAATCAATATAACTAAGATAACAAAAATAACCAAAATACCGTACCGTAAATAATTCTTTCATCAAATCTTTTCGTATCACCAAATTTTTACGTATAGTAATACATTTTCTACACATTTCTCTTAAGATTACCATTTGATTTGATGTCAAGAGTTGATCAATTCTAATAAATAAAGCGAAAATCCATTGAGATTTTGTGATGGTCATTCCGGTATCTAACCATTTGATATGATATGAAAAGTAAAGAAATTATTATTTCCTAAAAAATTTAAAATAAAATTAAAATAAAATATATGATTCATAATGTTAACATGATTAGATAATAATATGATACTAAAGTAATAAATAAAGGTAATATTTCACCTGATCTAATCTTGAAATTATATAATATTCATACTAGGTAACATCATTGTTGCTATTCCTTCTTCATTATTTTCTTTCAGTTCTTTTTTTAATTCTTTACCTTTCTTAGAATATGATATGAAAATGAATTTTCATTATTATCATCATCATTATCATCTCCTCGACCTCCATCATTACCATCACCACCAAAGCTTTCACCAAAACTTCCAAAATCTTCACCTAAAGGACTCAAAGGATAATCTAATCCATAACAAAAATTTTAATCAATCAGCTTCATCTTTCGATTTATGTAATTTCACTGATTGGTAAAGTGAATTATTATTATTATTATTACTACTATTATCATCATCAGAGTTATTATTTTTATTATTATTAGGGGAAAGTTTGGAAATTCCTGAAACAAATAAATCAGTAAATAATAAATTAATAATTAATTAATTAATTCATAATAATAATAATAATAATAATAATAATAATAATAATAATAATAACAACTTTTTAGAAATACATTTTCCCATTCTTCATTAACCAATCCATTTTCTCTATTTTGTTTATCTTGTTCTTCAATTAATGCAGTTTTAGTGTTGACCAACCTCTTTTAGCCCACGGTACCATTTTAACATTATTATTATCTATATTTTTTTTATTTATATCATTATTATTGATCTTTATTTATTTTTATTGTCATCATTGTTTTTGTTATTTTGATTATTATCATTATCACTATCACTTAAACCACGAATGTTTTCACGAACGTTTTCGCAAAAATTTTTTTAGCAACAAAAACATTATTGTTTCTGATTATTACTATAATTGGTTCTAGTACTTGTTGCGCTAGATTTTATGAAAAGGTGGAATACTACTGGTTTTTCAGTATCACTACAATTTTTTTCTTCTTCAAATTTTAAGTCTAGTTGTTCTTGCCGGAGCATAATCTAAAATTTATCCAATAAAATAAAATAATCTAAAAAATAAGAAACGCGATCTCATTGGGTCACTATCACATGAAGGACAGAGAAACATTCGTGACCAGAAATTTATCATAGTGCGTAGAAATATAGCTTCGCTACGGACAATAAAAAATAAGGTTTATGTTTTTGCATGGGCAAATTTTTTATGACTAAATGCAGTTATCTGATAAAACGCAGAAATAAATTTTATTTTTTAGCAGATTTGATCTTCAAAAGTTATTACATGATGATACATTAGCACATTACAGAATTTTTTAAATCTTTATTATTATTATCTATTTCTATATTAAAAGAAATAAATTATTGAGGAGGATGACAAATTGGTCCGGAGCAACCGGGGTCGTCGTCAGGGCAACAATGATTGTGGTCGGGGGAAACGGAGGCGATAGGATATGATTTTTTATAAAGTGGATGCGGAACAGCACTGACCACAGAAAGTGCGATCAATAAAAATACAAAAATAAGATTTCGATTCATGATTTCTTTATAAAGATAATTTTTAAATTTTTGTTTAAAAATTTGTTTAAAAATTTTGTTTAAAAAATTTGTTTCAAAAATTTGTTTAAAAATTTGTTTAAAAAATTTTCTTTGATGGTTAACTAGCTTCGAAGCAAATTCATGGCCTTTTATAAGAAAAAATTATGTTTCCATTAAAAATTTTGATATTCACGAAGATCGGTACCTCATTTCGGGTTTCCTTTTATATTGTTTCTTTTTATTAATCAGAATTTTTCATCTGAAAATCATTCAGGATAGTCCTTTGGCTTTACAAAAAATATATATTTTAATAAATGAAAGTTCTAAATCGATTAATCCAAACTGATGATATATAAATACGTGAAGAAATTATTCACTTGTATTCGTGTTTGAACTGGCGAGGCATTTCGCAAGAACTTCCCAGATGGTACAATAAAATTCATTTTTGTGTTTTGATTCCTTTTTAATTTTCAGAACTCGTCATTAGGTTGATATTCCGACATCTGTGATGAAATCTGTAGAATTACTTACAGAATTGAATTTGAATTATTCAAGTTTACATTTAATGAACGTAGCCTTTTCTAATAACCTCTAGGACTTATTGATTAAAATAATAATATTAAAAATTTCGGATATTACTATTAATCGTTATTTTTATCTTGTAAAATAAGAAATCAATTGATTATTCATTCTAAAGAAAATAGATCAATAATAAAATAAATGAATAAATGCAGGTTTTTGGTTTAACGCACATCTTCAATGTATACCATTTCCAAATTGGGAGATATATAATAATGAAAAAAAACATTGGTCTAAAGAATCCATAAAGCGTCTTTAAAAAATGTAATGTATATCATTTCCAAATTGGGAGGTGTATAATAATGAAAAACGTCTTTAAAAAAATGCAATGTATATCATTCCAAATTGGGAGGTATGAATTCTTTAGACCAATGTTTTTTTCATTATTATATTATCAGATCAATAATTTTTTTATTATCAAAAATTTCGAGATCAAAAAACGTGACTAAATTCGCATGATGATTTTTTTTTTGCATCTCTTTATTTTATTGATGTTGTCATTTGAAACTAAAATATGTTTAAATCAGAACCATTGCTTTTTATGATATTAATGGAGAAAGAGACTTTTACAAGATAGTTCTTACGACACTCCCGTTTCGGAATGAGATTATGATTCTTATATGTAGATCTCTTTCCGAATCATATATCTATAAATAAATAAAATTCATGATATCCATTTTTAATCAAATAATATATAAAGCTTTAAAGGACAATTTTTTTTTTCTCATTATTCTCATTTAAGTATTATTTTAACACGACATTTTCTTGACTATTTCTGTACATTCTCTATAATTTTCTAGCCATTTTTTTTTGTCCATTTTTAGTCCATGAAACATCATAAATTTTGGTTAGGTACGTTTCGTATCATAACTTAAAAATCAATAATGATTATTCTAATTATAATGAATATTTTTAATTCATTTCTTTTTGATATTTGTTTATCCTTTAGTTTGCATACATATAAATTATTGATATGATAATAGATTAATTATATTATATAATGTCAATATAATATAATTTTAATATAATGAATTTAAATGTGTATGAGATAACAAAGTAACAATACAGTTTTTTTTTATTTTTAAATTGTTTTTTTTTACATTATTCAAACTTGAACAATATTAACTCTATTTATCTTACCTTTGTCCTAAAATGGAATGAATTACTTATACTTCGTTTTTTTTTTTTGACGCTTATTTATTTATTCATTTATTCAATTTGTTTACTAATTCGAATTACACGTTTCAGATTATGAATATCCTTTGATTATAAAAAAAAAATTCGCCTGTTTAATTGTAAGAGAACACAACCAACCAACAAATTGTAAAATTCAAAAAGTTCGGTAATTTTAGCATTAATTATTGTACATTATAAATTATGCTGTATATATAATTATGTAGTTTTAATCTATAAAGTGCGAGAAGAAACAAAGATTCTTTGTATATTAATATTCTTATGCTGTATGTTATACGCGTAAAAAATTAACCTTATTTTATTCCTGAACAAATGATTGTATAATGTAATAGTAATAGGTCCATCCGTGTAATGTGATACTATTGTACATAAATCCAATAATTGTAGATCTAATAAAATCGAAGATCGAAACCTGATAATAGTAATAATGCAACAACTACACCTGATAATAATACAACAACTATAAATGAAAAAACAACACCACCAATAACACAATAATTGAAAAATAACTAGAAAATGATCAATATCAACAACTGCATTCAGTAATGATGTTATGGAAGGAGGAGTTATATTATCTATATTTGATAAAGAAAAGTAGTAATAATAATAATAATAATAATGATAATAATAATAATAGTAATAATTATAATAATAATAATAATAATAATATATCTATTATATTTTTTTAGTCATTTAATTTGGATGGAAGATTTGAATTATAGAATTAATAAATTGACAGTAAAAGAAATTAAATCTTTTCTTGGATAGTAGAGATGCCAAATATTTACTTGATCATGATTAAGTAAATCTATATTTTTTTTGTTCATTGTTGAAATTATATTTTTAACAATAAATAATAATATTAATATTTATAATTAATATTCATTATAATAATAATTTAATAAAAAATCATTTTATGAATTTGAAGAAGGTGAAGTTTTATTTCCATCAACTTATAAATATGATTTTGATAGTAGGTAATGAATTATTATATTATTTATTTATAATTGTTAAATTATTTATTTATTATTATAATATTTATTTAATTTATAGTTATTATTATAATATTTATTTATTTATTTATCTATTATTATTAATAGTGAACCAGCATGGACAGATAGAATAATATAGAGAAGTAAAGAAAGAAAATAATTGGACATTATGTTTAATGATCATTTTTTTGAATTAAAAGTTTGTCAACCAAATTTTATTATTATTATTTTTTTACATTATTATAATATTATCACTTAGAATATTTTACTTATATTAATATTTTTACTTATAATCATTCACCTCTAAGACAATGTTTAGTTTAAAAATATATCCACTTGAAGAAGAGGATGATGATATAGTACACAAGATAATGTTTTTATATTAAAAGATAATGGATGTAGTGAGATATAAATTTTGTCAGATGTATTATTTCTTATTAATCATTTTAATTATTTTGGAAATCATTAATTTATATTATTAAAAATAGATATCAAATCAATATTAATAACAACCAATATTGTCATCAACGCCTTTATCTTGATTTCCAATCAAATATATCTAATAATAATTAATAATTCATAATTTATAAATTTTTTATTTATTTATTTTTAAGTAATTTGTACTATATCACATGTTATATTTTTTTTTATAATTACAATATCAGATAGATGTATATATAATATTTAAATAATTAATGTAAATACATAATTTATTTAATTTATTTTTAAATATTTCTAATTTAAAATGTTCAAAATAAATAAATGGAAAAAAAACCTACAATATAAACAAATGTAAAGTGAAGTGAATATAGTGAATATATAACAAATGTAAAATAAATAATAATAATAATAATAATTCAGTCTTCTCAGCATTCTCAAATTATTCGTCTCTTCACTTTAATAATAATAATAATAATTATAATTATTATTAGTGTTATATTATTAGTTATCCTAAATCTCGTTGTCCGAAATAATTTCTTATAATAGTAATTATCATATTTAAAGATGCCAAAGTTGTATCATCTTCGTTATCCACCTATTAAAATAAAGAAAATATCGTAATATTAAATATTAAATTTAAGAAGATAAAATATTAAAAGTAAGAATATAAATAATATCAAATATAAATAAATAGATAAAAATATCAAATATATTTATATTTAATATGTAAAATAACCAAAATAATCAAAATAACCGTACCGTAAATAATTCTTTCATCAAATCTTTTCGTATCACCAAATTTTTACGTATAGTAATACATTTTCTACACATTTCTCTTAAGATTACCATTTGATTTGATGTCAAGAGTTGATCAATTCTAATAAGTAAAGCGAAAATCCATTGAGATTTTGTGATGGTCATTCCGGTATCTAACCATTTGATGTGATATGATAGTAAAGAAATTGTTGTTTCCTAAAAATAAAATCAATAATTCATAATGTTAACATGATTAGATAATAATATGATACTAAAGTAATAAATAAAGGTAATATTCATTTTCGTTTTACCTGATCTAATCTTGAAATTATATTCAAACTAGGTAACATCATCGTGGCTACTTCTTCTTCATTATCTTCTTCCAGTTCTTTTTTTAATTCTTTACCTTTCTTAGATTTTTCATTATCATCATCATCATCATCATCACCATCATCATTATCATCACCTCGACCTCCACCACTATTACCACCACCGAAGCTTTCACCAAAACTTCCGAAACTTCCGAAACTTTCAAAACCTTCACCTAAAGGACTTAAAGGACTCAAAGGATAATCTAATCCATAACAAAATTTTAACCAGCCAGCTTCATCTTTCGATTTAGGTAATTTCACTGATTGATAAAGTGAATTATTATTATTATTATTATCATCATCATCAGCGTTATTATTTTTATTATTATTTTTATTATTTGGGGAAAGTTTTGATGTTTTATTTATATATTCTCGCAATTCCTAAAATAAATAAATCAGTAAATAAATCAATAGAGAAAATAAATAAATAAATAAAATAAAAATAAATAAATAATTAATCAATTATAATAACAATAATAATAATAATAATAATAATAACCTCTCTTAACTTTTCAAATCTTTCTAAAAATATTTTTTCCCATTCTTCATTAACCAATCCATTTTCTCTATTTTGTTTATCTTGTTCTTCAATTAATGTAGTTTTAGTATTTGCCCAACCTCTTTTAACCCATGATGCCATTTTAACATTATTATTATCTATATTTTTATTTATATCATCATTATTAATCTTTATTTTATTTTTATTACTGTTTTGATTATCATTATCACTTAAACTACCACCACCACGAATATTTTCACGAACGTTTTCACGAATATTTTTTTTAGCAACAAAAACATTAGGAATTTTATTTGCTTCTGATTTCACCATATTTAAATATTCTTCTCCAGTTGAAGGTGGTTTATTACTAAACTTAGTTCTAATATTTGTTGCGCTGGATTTTTGTGAAAGGTGGAATACTACTGGTTCTTCGGTATCACTACTATTTTCTTCTTCTTCCTCAAATTTTAAGTCTAATTCTTCTTCCGAATCTTCTGATAAAACCTTTTGTAATTCTGGTCTTTGTTTTTGTTGTTTTGAGGTATACATTTTTTTTTATAAAAAATATTATTAATACGCGAAAAAAAAAAAAGTGTAACATTAAAAACTTTTGACCAATCATAATTTCTCTTTTTTATACTACAGTACCAGAATTAGTAGATTTTGATATTATTAACAAAAATGTATTATTTATTCATTTTAGTTCAAGTATTTCAGTTCAGTTATTACAACAAATATTAAATCTTTATTATTATATTATTATATTACTATTATATAAAAAAAAATAAGTTTTACTATAAATGTTAACAAATTGAACTTAAAAAAAAATAAATAATATTAAATCTAATGGCAGGGCCTGCAAGGGTTTCGTCTCCGCAACAGGGTTTAATGGTGGCAATAGGGTGGAGGTATGCAAGGGGGTTCGTCTCCGCAACAGGATTTTTCGGAGGCAATAGGATATGATTTTTCATAAAGTTGATGTGGAACAGCATTGACCACAGAAAGTGCGATCAATAAAAATACAAAAAGAAGATTTCGATTCATGATTTCTTTATAAAATAATTTAAATTTTTGTTTAAAAATTTGTTTAAAAATTTTGTTTAAAAAAAGTTTCTTTGATGGTAACTAAGCTTCGAAGTAAATTCATGGCCTTTTATAAGAAAAAAGTTCGTTTTCATTAAAAGTTTTGATATTCACGAAGATCAATACCTCATTTCGGGTTTCCTTTTATACTGTTTCTTTTTATTAATCATCTGAAAATCATTCAGGATAGTCCTTTGGCTTTACAAAAAAATATATATTTTAATAAATGAAAGTTCTAATCAATTAATCCAAACTGATGATATATGAATACGTGAAGAAATTATTCACTTGTATTCGTGTTTGAACTGGCGAGGAACTTCGCAAGAACTTCCCAGATGGTACAATAAAATTCATTTTTGTGTTTTGATTCCTTTCCAATTTTCAGAACTCGTCACTAGGTTGATATTACGACATCTGTGATGAAATCTGTAGAATTACTTACAGAATTGAATTTGAACTGTTCAAGTTTACATTTAATGAACGTAGCCTTTTCTAATAACCTCTAGAACTTATTGATTAAAATAATATTATTTGTAAAACAAGAAATCAAATTTGATTATTCATTTTAAAGAAAAATAATAAATAAATGTAGGTTTTTTTTTTTTTTGGTTTAGCCACGCCTTCAATTCAATAATAAAAAATATGCCTATAATATGTAATTATTGAAATCAGTTTTGTGTAATACGTGAAAACGAACCAATAAATGTAGCACATGTGTACACGTGAAATAAACCAATAAATTTACTGCGAGTTTAAACAAAATAGCAATATTTAAAATATTAATAAAAATATTAATGTTTAAATATAAATCACTTATTTTTAAAGTGAAACATTCCCTTACATTAATTAATAATTTTATTAAATAATAATTTATTATAATAATTATATTAAAATTTATTCAATCTGTAGATTTAAAAACCATTACACATAAAGCTCATATAATATATTAAATCCATCTATTCATATTTGTATCACATGAATATAATAAATGATTCAAATATTCTAAGTTGATAACTATTTATATTTGATTTTTAATTTAATATAAAAAATAAATTCACTAAAAACAAGTTATATTTTATTTACCCATTCAGAAACTCGGAATCTCTAATTTTAGACTCATGGCACAAAGCAAGAATATAAATAACGTCTAGAGTTAAATTCACCATCATTAAATATCAAATAATTATATAAACATGATTCTGTAAATAATCACATTTTTTTTTATTATTAAATCGAACAAATCAGCCCATATGTAAAAAAACCATACAAAAATACAATAATTGTAATTGTAATTAGATCATCAAGTTATAGTTATGCGAACTTAAACTCGTTAAATTTTAGATCATAATATATTTTTTTATTATCAAATATCAGAGATCAAAAAAACGTAACGAAATTCGCGTCAGGATTTACATAATTATTTGTTTTTTTATTCGTTAAAAAAAGGCGTATCTCTTATTTTATTGATGTTGTCGTTCGAAACTAAAATATGTTTAAATCAGAACCATTGCTTTTTATGATATTAATGGAGAAAGAAACTTTTATAAGATAGTTCTTATGATATTCTTGAGATTATGATTCTTATATGTAGATCTCTTTCCGAATATGATATCTATAAATAAATTCATGATATCCATTTTTAATCAAATAATAACATATAAAGCTTTAAAGGACAATTTTTTTATTCTCATTATTCTCATTTTAGTGTTATTTTTTAACACGACATTTTCTTGGCCATTTCTGAACATTTTCTATAATTTTCTAGCCATTTTGTTTTTTTTTTTTTTTTTTGTACATTTTTAGTCCATGAAACCATCATAAATTTTGGTTAGGCACGTTTTGTATCATAACATAAAGAACTTAAAAATCAATAATGATTATTCTAATTATAATGAATATTTTTAATTCATTTTTTTTTTGATATTTGTATTTGTTTATCCGTTAGTTTGCATACATATAAAATAATATATTATATAATAATAGATTAATTATATTATATAAAATAATATCAATATAATATAATTTCAATTATAATGAATTTAAATGTGTATGAGATAAAGCATCGACAACAATAGTTTTTGTTATTTTTAAATTATTATTTTTCATTATTATGTTTAGTGTGTCTAATTTATTTAATATGTTTAGTATTTTTATATGTGTTTAAGATGATTAAACACCAAAAATATAAAAATAAATCTGGGACAAAATTCTTTATAAACAAACTAAAAAATCTCGGGATTATTTTTTTAATTATCATTTCTGACGTATTCTGGCGTGCACCTGTGGAGAAACTTAATTCCACGTTTAGTACGTTTCACAAATCTCAAACACGAACAATATTAACTCTTTTTATCTTACCTTTGTCCTAAAATGGAATGAATTACTTATACCTCGTTTTTTTTTTTTGACACATAATTCCCCCTTTATTTATTTATTCATTTATTCATTTGTTTACTAATTTGAATTACACGATCTTCATTATTTGCCAGTTTAATTCAATCTCGTTTCAGATTATGAATTTCTTCTGATGATAAAAAAAAAATTCACCTGATTAATCGTTAGAAGATAACACAACAAATTAAAATTGTAATCCAACAGTTCGGTAAAAATTAATTAATTTAGCATTAATTATTATACATTATAAATTATGTTGGATATATAATTATTAATTTACGTAGTTCTGTTAATTATTTAACCTATATATGATTATGGATATATAATTATATTTTAAACGTACGAGAAGAAACAAAGACTGCAATATATGACTTTGTATATTGATATTTGTATGCTGTATGTTATTATGCGTAAAAAATTAACCTTATTTTGTGTGTCCCGCTGTATTTATTTATCAAGTAAAAAAAAAAAAGAAATTAATTTTAATAATTTAATTAATTATTTTAAATAATTTAATTAATATTTAATAATAATAATAATAATAAATGATTTTTATAAATGTTTATTATGTCGCATGTCTTTTTCCTTTTACGAATAAAACGTTAGAAAATTAGTCAAAAAATAAATTACAGAATAATATTAATATTAATTTATAAATAAATTTATAGATATTAATAGCTTTAAAGAAATCTATTTTTATCAAAATTGTTGTAAATATATATATAATTGTTTTGAAGAATATGAATTATTATTTTTTTTTTTTTGAAAACACAGTATTGTGTGAAATTGAATGTTCGTGTAACATAAAAAGTTTCCAACGAATAAAGAATTATAATGTCTGATCATTTATTGGTAATAGCCAAGTTTGTGGTTTGACGTGACAGAATGTATATTTAAATAGAATATAAAATATCCATAAAAAACGAATATTCGGACAACCCATGAAACAGTTTTTTTTTTTAGATTATTTAACAAAGAAATAAATATTATATTAAATGTAACAAGGAGTACGATAGAACCCAAAACTTTTCTTGGATCATTTGGATATATTTGTATTTTTTGAAACAATCCTCCCTCTTTTGTTCAAATTTTTTAAATTCTTTATAAATATAAGATGTGGCGACATATCAATTTCAGTGTGGTTTTCGAGATTGATTCACATTTCAAAAGAACTTATAAAAAAGTCCAAGAGTTCTTAAATTTATTTTTTCCAGAAGATTATTATTATTATTAAATAATTTGCAACCATGCCTAAAACTTCTGAAAAGAAAACTACTTATAAACGTCGAAATGTTAGAAATGTTCACTTATATGATACCCCTCAATTTAAAGAAACACTTAAGCAGGCTATAGACAAGAATTTCAAAAAGACTTACCCTAATGGGATGAGTGTGGAAACTACTTTACCTCTTGATCAACTTTTAGCACCTTGCAAGAAAACTCGTGGAAAAAGAGGTAGAATTACACGACCACAAAATGCTTTTATTTTGTATCGTAAAGATATACAAGCAAAGATTAAAGAAGTTAATCCTGATGCAAAATTTGAAGATGTATCTAAAATAGTGGGCGAGCTTTGGAAAACAGAAACCAACCAAAGAAAAAATAATTATATTTTGTTATCAAATCTTTGTTGCCTCGTACATCAAGATCTCTTTCCCAACTACAAGTTCAAACCCAGACCGAAAGAGGATGGGAATGATAAAAGCGATGTAAATGAGCAATCGGAATTTTTTAATTTACCAACAAACCTTGATCGTGAAAACCAAAATATTTTACTTTCTTCTTTTGATATTAATTCTATTGGTTCTGTTTCTCCTATTCCGCAAGATGCTGAAGATGAAGATAATGCTTCAGTGACAACAACGACAACAACAGAATTGTCAGAATCAATACCTACTATTAATATAATTAATAATTGTAATGAACAAAATCAATTGTTTTCTACTGGTGCTATTCCTAACTATGAAGGTCAAACGGGACATTTATCTGAATTGGAATATATTGAAGATTCGGACTTCTTGTTATCATCTCAACAATCATTCGATAATATTGGCACTACAAATAATTACGAAATTCAAAATTATATTCAAAATATGCAAAATCTGGATCATTATAATATAGGATCCGACCCTTTACCTTACACTTCAGACGAAAATTCGTTTCTTTTTACCACATCGCAAAATGGTAAATCCTCGCAAGAATATAATGATTATTCTATTATTTCAATACCTTCTTCTTCGACGCAAAATACCATTCCTACTACTTACCCACAACCGATTACACCAATTACATCGAATTTTATTAATGATAATAATAATATCGTTACTACAAATCCATTTTTGTATGATGATTCGGTCAATAATAATGAAATTGAATACTTAAGTGATGAATTAGTTGATATGTTAGCAAATTCATTCCATTCTTTCATATAAAACAAAATTATTATTTTTTTTTTCTTTAAATTTTTCAAAAAGATTTTTTTATTAGGTTGTAATATAGATGGGTTTTTCGGTTATTTTTCATTTATACATAATTATTATTTTTCATTTATATCATTTGCATCATTTTTTTTATAGATTATTTAATTATTATCATTATGAGATGTTTTGTACATAAATGAGATACAGCATTAAGGATATATGTCAGTATGGTCGATATCATTTTATTATTTTTATTTTTCATTATTCCTTTTTTTAAGGCAATAGAATCATTAGCATTTAATTTTAATATTAAAAATATAAGAAAAAAAACATATAAAGCATTTCATAATAAGAGATTTTAAGCATATTTCCTAATAAACGTATCAAAAAAAAAATTGGTCTTTTTTTTTTTTTAATGAAAATCACAATTATGACTGTTGAGATGAAATTTTTGATCTTTGTTAAAAAAAAAATGATTAAATTGACGACACCCACACGATAAAATTTTATTTACATTATTTGCATTATTTGTATTGTTTACGTACATGCACTAATATTCAGCTGAATAACAAATATATACAACATTAATTGATAATGTGCAAATAACATGTTGCTTATGATGTATTGAACGCAATATGTCGAAGATCAAAAAAAAATAATAATAAATGTTTCTTTGTTACCGAAATTATGGATCTAGGATGACTGGCCCGATAATTGTTGAATCGTTTATTTTGTTTTGTGTTCAAATATTTCATAATATCAGAACCCCAATCATAACACATTCCCTTATCTCATAGGTGATTTCTCCCCGGATTGTGATTTTTTAAAAATAAATGAAAATTATTACATTACATGAACTATTCATTTTTCTTCGAATTATATAATTAGCAAAAAAATTAACAAGGACTTTCTTTCAATAAGGTGTTCATTTTTTTTTTTTAGATTTTTTTCTGAAACAGATTTACCTTCCTTCCTTTACAAATTAGTGAATTTACTTCTGTCCCTTCTTGAAATATTTTCTTGAAATATGTTCTTTTTCAAAGTGTTTCAAATGAAATGCAAAATAAAATTCGTTTTGCTAAAATGTATCAAATTTCTTATTACATACAGTATTTGTTTTGAAAAAAAGCTATATCCATTTGAATTTACTAAATAAGTAATTCTTTGAATTGTAATTTAACCACAATTAATACAGTAGTGTTTACTTTTCTTTATGTGTGTGTACGCAATAATCAATAAACAAATAAATTCAAGAAGATCCAACTCGTTCAATTCTTCAAACAAAGAACATTTTCAAAGCCAAATTTGCTAACCAAAAAGATGTTTATAATGTGCGTTAAATGTTTTTCCGTGTCATTCAAGAATGCAATTGTTATTCTTTCCAGATATGTATAATAAAGAAATATGTATATATGTATAGTTTAATTTTAAGCGCGTTGAATTTCTTTCTTGATGAAAAAATTTAATTAATAATTAATGCACACACATCACATCATAATTTAACTGATAATGAGACAAAGAACGTTTGTTGTTTACCAGGATAGTGGAAAGATCATCAATTGGTTCGTTTGTATGACTTTGTGTGTATGCTAGCAAATCATTTCATCAAAGATTATTATTTATGGGGTGCTCCCCAGGTCTAGACTCTTATCTTGAACCCCTATATAAATAAATTTTTTAAAGTGTATTACGTATATATTTAATATATTCTGCCTTACCATGAATGGTTTTTTCATAAACTTACACGTGTTACGAACTTTTATAACCACATAGATGACCTAAAAATGACATAACATTACGATAGAAAAGGTGAAAATGTTTCAAAAAAAAATGTATCTTAATTTTATTTTTTCTCTTCGAAATTCTTCAGTTTTTTTTTTTTTTAAAAAAAAATATTATTTTTATTTTCTCTGAGAATGCTCATGCTATCTTTTGGCCGTACGGCATGAAATTTATATCATAGATTTCACCAGAATTTAAGTTCCATGTGATACTACGGCATCACGTGAAGGACAACTGCGTAATTACTAATCTAATAGTATATAATGAATACCTTCAGAGAACGAAAAGATTTCGTCTTGATAGAATTCTTAAAGAGAAGACGGAACAAATGTGAAGATTTATGTTGTACTTTATAAAGAAGTACCGAAAAGTTACACGAAAATATTCACGGTAAAATTTTACTTTTCGAAATTTTTTAATTAATTAATTATAACCTTATTTATCGTTTTTGATTTGATTATTTATTGTTCTAGGAACCTTATTTGGACAGTAAGAATCAGAATATACGATACTTTATTAAATTATTTTAAAAGTTGATGTTAATTTATTTTGATTACATTATATATATATATATATATATATTTTATATATATTTAGCATCATGAGGTGATGTTAAAAAATTTTTTTTTATATTAAAAAATGTAATGTAAATTTCATCTTATGATTCTTTAATTTTTTTTTAGAAAATGATGTCATTTAGCTTTTATTGGCGGATTAGATTTATGTTTTGGACTTTACAACATTGGAAAACACACAGGATTCTGATTACTTATATGGCCTTGACAAGATTATTCTAATCCTAAAATTAAAGATTTGTTGATGTTAAAAGTTGGTCATCTGCTCTTGTTGATAAAAGATTACTGCTTGAATACCTTAGCATGAGATGTCACTTTAGAATTTTATCAAAAAAACAAAGCAGAAAATAAACCCAGGTATCCAGTATTGATTTCTAAATCTGAAGAACCTGAAAATAATGCTGCAATAAAATCATGTACTTATTAAAAAAATCACTAGTGAAAAAAATCGAAGCATACTGCTGACCTATGTTCATAGCGATTCTTTGTTAATTCAGGAAAATCAGTTCAAATTCATTCAGATCACTGTCCATGTAATGTTAAAATTTGCAAATAGTGCTTTATGGAATCTTGGTCTTGCTGAAAGAAGTAATTTTATGTACACATATAATAGATTATAATATAAATTTATAAATATTTAGATATTCATTCACAATTCTTCTCTTGTTATCTCTCTCGTGTTGTTAAGCATTCTATTTTTAACGCTTACAATTAAAAAATGCTAAACATTTTGTCTACGTTGGGAACCAATTCTTTAGTGAGAAATATTTATATTAAATTTTAAATTTAATTATATTATAATTATATTATGATATATTAATTATAAATAACTTTATTTTTTTAGTCACTGCCACTAAAACCTTATCGGAAAGGTAATTTCATCTATTAATATCTAGCTGAACGAGTCACCAGAACATAAAAAAAATAAAGAAAATTTAAATTTTTCGTTCTTATGCTATTGTTACCAGCTTTCCCTGCCAAACTAGAGATGAAACTGTAATATATATCAATTTGAATGTGTACCTTATTCTTTCACAATATTAATTATAATAATTATTTTATAGTCTCACTATACATTAGTTTCTATGGACTTCGATCACACGATCGGATTGATTATTTATTTGTTGGGTAAACTCATTAAAGAAACTGATGCTCAAAGTTAGTCCTTGACAATGATGATCACGAATCTAGAACTTTCACCTGATTTTGTATTTTTATTATTATTATTTATATATTTTGATACATTTGATACTTTATATTAAAATTAAATATGTACAGTATGTTATAATTTAGCCAATTTGAATGATTGAAGACAGATAATTCATTGATTATAGTTTCCCTGGTAGAAAGTTAGTATCTTCACAACTTTTTTCATTCATCATTATGATTATTATTATTATTAAAGGCTGGAAAATTTGTTACATACAATTTGTATGTATTTGTTGTTGTGCATTTATATAATCATATAGGTATGGAAAAACATTGGTCTACTAATTTTACTGGAAATAAATCTGTGGACTAAATTATGAAGAATATATGCATTACATCATTATAAGGCATGGAAATGCAATGCAATTAAAAAGATTAAATATACTAAAGAAATAATGAGTGGAGCTCAGAGTCTATTGACTCATGAGAAAAATTCAAGCTGTAAATATTATTAGAGAGTATGTACTTTACTTCAATATATTTATAGATCAGATCAGATCAGATAGTAACTTGGTAAAAAAAATTAGCTATGAGATATAAAATGATTCATCAAAGAAAATTAATTAGTTAATAATTCATAATATATTTATACATCTTATTGATTTATTTATTTTATATAACGTTTTGATATCTCTTGATAAGCTAGTATCTTTTTTTTTTTTTGTATATACCTGACAAAAAACCCCTATTACAGATAATATGACAAGTTTATTTTTCATATCCACTCTAACTTCAAACGGTATCAAATAAACTATCTCCTTTTCCTAGATATAGTAAATTCTCAGTACTTTTACACAAGTGATATAATTTTGATTTTTCTATGAAGCGACTACATAGTCAAATTTCAATACCAGATACTATCATTAATTTGATATAAATTGTAGCAATTACTAATCTTTAAATTGCAAAATGTCTAAACTGTTTTTAACTTGTTATTATACAATATTTGCTTTTTTTCGTATTATCTGTATTGCTTTAATTATAATTATCTTAATAATTACTGCTGGGAATTGCAGGAATCGTGATATGTTAAATGACTTTATAATAACCTATGGCTATTCTCTTCTCACCTCTTACATTCTGCATTAGTTACTTTGGAATCAAGGGTGGTATCCGAATACTTCAAAATAGTAAGGATCTTGTGTAATATGATTATCTAATCACATAAATTGCTCATCTTGTCAAAAGCCCAACAAAAAATGGATCTTGATAATTTGGACCTTAATCGTATCTATACTTTTGAGGAATTCGAGTATATAAACGACCAGCCAAAATACCATACTTTGGAAATTAATGGACAACCTGTTAATCATTTTGAGCTTGACAAAAATATGGAAGCCGTTGTCTCGGAAATTGTCAGGCAACTCGGTAACTGGAATATTCACACTGGTTAGGGGGGGTATTGTCACCTCCTCGCAAGGAGGGTTCGACTTTAATGTTGGAGGCAACGGAACGATCCGAGCACCTTCACTCCTAAAGATACATATCGTCGCTTGGCTCAACAACAACTCTGAACCTTCAAGGGTGGCAAGGGTGGCGAGAGTGGTAGACCGTTTACTCCAACGTTTGTTGTTGAGGTTGGGATACTGCATTAAAGTCAAAGTCTAGCATCAATCAAAAAATGTCATAATAAGTTAGTCTGTGTAATTGCCAAATTGTAATAACAAATATAATAAAGCATCAGACATCTCGTGTGTCATATTCATTTATTTTTTATACATTCTAACTTCAACCAACTAGATAAAGTGAAGGGATATGGCATGTGCATCATATAAAGGAAGAAAGGCTTTAGGGTAAACATCATAATTTATTCACCAATAAAAAAATATCTTGACCAGTTGAAAGATTATTTTACAATTTTTAACATTTATGCTGTAATATGTGTATTGGAAAAAAAAAATTATGTTATATTAAGGTCATTTACTTTTGTGAATTCCTAACCTTGGATCAGCAAAATTTCGATCTCATATTTTGATAGAGAACAAAGTTCCAGATTTCACTAAACCACAAAAGCAATTGAAGTTTTAAGTTTACTCAAAAAGACCCAATTCTCGAAGATGCTCCAGAATAACTACAATAATTAAACGAGAAGAATGAATATTCATGAAAATAAAAGATCGTTGACAAATAATAAAATAATAAATAACGAAATCATTTATTATTTTTAATTTTTCAATTTAATTTTTTTTTATTTATTATTAACATATTTAAGATAATACATATTTTATTTTTTGTGGATACAATGTAAATAGTTTCCTTTAAAAAAAATAATTCCTTATTATTGTTAATGATGTCTCCTCACCTTTAGAAATGTACATGCATTACTAGTTCTGCGAGTAAGAATTTTAAAATTTAAAATTAGTCTTTCATCATAGGCACTATTTCTTATTTTTAACCGCTCCTACAAAACGAAATGAGGATTCTTCCGAAGAAGATTCAATCAATTAAACCCCCAAAATACGAGAATGCACCATTTTTTTTTGGCGCGTGATCTTTTCCCTCACGCATAATACCAAAATTATTGAGAAAGAATTTATATATCAACGACATAAATCAGTTTGCAATAATTATTTTTTTGTGATGTATTATAAAAATTTACCTTAGTTCACGGTAAATAAAAGTAATAAAAGATTTTCTGTATTTATTTTTATCAAAAATAAATCCTCTTTTTATTATTATTACATTTCTTTAAAAAAAAGTTCTTCTGTTCCCCAAAAAGAAAGAATAAATCAAAAGAAAAAATTCTCTACGGATAAAAAATGAATCTGATAATTCGTTTCACCCACTACATCATCAGTAAATTTTTTTAGGCGTGATATTACGTAATATTACACCATTTACAAAAAAATCCGTTTTTGAATTCGCTTGCGATTTATGAAACAGGGAGAGATTTTCTACTAAGGTATTTCTAAGATGGATAGAAAGCCCTTGTTTCTGGCTACATGCCAATATATGTTTAATTCCTTTAGCTTTGGTATTGATCGAGATATTCACGTTTAAAGTTGGGCGTCCGTGAAAAATTTCGCAAATAATTTTACGTAATATTCGTAATATTACGTAATTACGAGATTTTCGAAAATTTTCACAGACATCTAACTTTAAACGTGAATATTTCGATGAATATCGATGCTATAAAAATAAACCTCATATCAACATGTAGCCATGAACCGGGAATTTCAATCTATATTAGAAATATCTTAAAAAATCTTTCCCTATCACGTAAATCGCGAGCGAATTCAAAAAAAAAATTTTTTTAAGCGTAAATTTTCGAAATATTTACGTAATATTTCGAAAATTTACGCCATTACGCCCATTACACCCACTGTAGCTAGTTCTAATAATATATTAGCAATTGGAGACGATCGAATATTCACAGTACAATCCATTTTACTTAAAATAAAATTTTTGGTATCCATCAGCCACTATTAAATAAATATTATAATATTTAATAGTACCCAAGTCGCACGACGTGGACGTTAATACCAATAGCGACTCATTAGAAAAACGGGCTATTTATGGCGCGCTGCCCAGCGCGTTGCTACTGTTCTTTTTTCACGGTAAAAGAATTACAAGAAAAACGGTCTACTTATAATCGCGCTGACAAGCACTACACATTTTACAGTTCTTTTTTCTCGTAAAAAGAATCAAAAACGGGTTATTTGTTTCGCGCTGACCAGCGCATTACTACAGTTCTTTTTTTTTCGATAAAAAAAAACTGCAAGAAAAACGGTCTATTTATATCGCGCTGACAAGTGCTACAGTTCATTTTTTTACTTCCAAAAGAACTATTTCAAATAAAACGGGACTATTTAATGCGCGCTGACCAAGCGCGTTTCAAAGGGTTCGCTACATTTGCATAAACTAACCCACTCTATCAAAGTTAAACACCAAAAAAAAAAGAAAAAAAAAGATAATGAAGATCAATAAAACAAAATCGCTGTATTTATTTACTAATATACCGATCAGCGGTTAAGCCCATTCTATTGGATGATTATTATGACTAGGAAATGCAAGTCAATTTTTGTTGTTTTCTGATTGGTTTATTGTTATTATTATTATGATGATAATCAATACGCGACACGCGTCGTGACAAGAATCACGTGAGTGATCAAATTTTCACTATGAGTGGAAATATAATGTCCTCCACTACGCTTCGAACAATTATATAGATGGTGGTAGTTTTGGTTTAAAGCTTAAAGCTTATGAATGATCAAACTTATTTTAGGATATTATTTCTGTCTATTTCTGTCGAAAAAACAGGCAAAAAAATAATGATATTGCCACAAATGATAACAAAAATAGCTCAATAATAATAACCAAAACATTCAAAATATGTAAAATATTGAAAATATTGGAGTTTACAAAAATCCCTTGGTTACCAGAAATGATGTAAAAGATAGATATATCAATAACCCCAATAATCCTAGATATATCAGTAATTCTGAATATTCCTATAATCATGAAATCCTTGATAATGGAAAATCAAAATATAATTCAGATATTTTTTGAAAAAAATAATCAGCACTTGATCAGGAGAGAATTCATCACATATGGAATTAAGTTAAAGACGGTAACAATTTTATAAATATAAATTAAATATTTAAATTATAAAGAATAAAATAATATTTTGTTTTTGTTATCTTTACAGAATAGTAACTGCAAGGTGACTATACAGTATAGTAACAATTTTTTTTAATTAAACATATTTTATATATTTTGGATGTTATTTAAAATATTAGTATTATCCACTAATTAGTTCCCCATTGACATTAAATGATTCATAAATCTCATATGGACATTTTATCCATTGACAAAAATGTTGAAATCTCAATGTTTGTTTTGCAATCTGATAATTTTCACATAACTGCTTGAATTTGTAATAAGTATAAGTTTTATGTGGAGATTCTATAAATGGTCTAATTCAAGAGTAAATATAAGAAATAGGTAAGAAAATAATAATGAAAAGAATTATTCATTAGAATGTTTTTTACAACTAACCTTAATTTAGAAGGAATGTTATTATTAGGGATTTTATTTAGTAATAATTCAATACTTTGAAAAAGATTTAATTTTGTAAATGAACTCCTATTTATAAAGGATATTGCAACAAGAAATTTCATTATTAATATATTTTTTAAAGTGAGAATTATAAAACACTAATCTGTCATTACCTAGTTTTAGTAGAATATAAACCAGTATTTTTGGATTTAGTAGCTCCCTGTTTTCTACCAGAAATAAGAATTTCTGCTGAAATCCAATCTTTGATCCACACAGTTGCTTTCATAATTAATTAAAAATAAATGAAATTTTAATGCTTTGAAGAATTAAGAATTTAAGAATTATTTTTATTATATATTTACCTATATTTAATGAAATTAAATTTTTACCGGGAAAAGATTCAGCCAAAAAACTTTTGGACCTTTCAAATTTCATTGTAGAAGGAATAATTGTGGGTTTATTTAATAAATATCCATTTGGTAAATCTACATAATAATTTAATTACAATTATAATAATTGACTATAATTTTACATTATGACAATTCTTTAATTAAAAATTCTTATTACTTGTTAAACTTTGAATTCGTTCATAAAATGCTCGATTTAAATCTTTTTGAGAAAACATATCACCCACAATAATTGATGATAAATAAATTGGTGATATTAATTCTGAAAGTAGAGCAGATTGTAACCCTACTACATTCCATTGTGCTATTTTATCACTATAATATATATAAATTTATATAAATGAATATATTAAATTAAAGATTACAAATGGAGTTCAATAAATCATTTTTTGTAATAATAAATACCTGCAAGACATTGATAGAGTAGGCTCAGAATCTACCCTTCCTATAGTAACAATTAAATATAAATAAATAAATAAATATATATATATATATATATTATTTCTATAATTTTTATAATTTTTACCAGGTTTCGTCCTTAACACTCCATAAGAATTATAATCTATTCTCCCTTTTCGAAATCCATCTTTTATTTTAACAACTTCAATTTTAAATTTATTTGTCGTTTTGCCTATAATATTATTATTACAATCAATATTTTGATAATTTTTATGCAATTCAGAATAAGAATTCATGTATATTTCTGCATCTTCTGGTGATTGTTGCAAAGCCAAATTAGTTATTGAGGCATCTCCACCTATAATTTTTCATTGCATTAATGTATTAATATATTAATATATTAAATATTTTATTAAATAATATACTTACAAGGAGCTTGACTTATATACATATGAAAAGATGTAGAAGAATTCTTTAAAATAAATGGTGAATGTTCATTTTTCATGCAAAAATATTTTGATTCTGATCTTATAGCTAATTCTAATTCATTTATGAGAAACCTTTGGAGAAAGCAAATTTCAACAATAAATAATACTTGTTTAATACTTGTTGTTTAATACTTGAAGTATACCTAAAAATTTTAATATATTTAGGAAATTTTTGATTATAATTTACTCAACTTGATAAATCCTCTTCGAGTCAATATTTCTGCATGACTATCATGAATTATATCTCCAATTTTACTAAGTTTATTTTGTGGAAGACATTTTAGGCCACTTCTAAAAATTATATAACAAATATATATTAAATATTATAATAATATATTCCTAATAATAATGAAGATTATAATTACCCTAATGAAACACATTCCAAATAATATTTTTCTCTCGCATCATCTAATAATACAAAGAATTTATATATATTAACTTACTAACTTTGAATAATATTGAATATGTAATTTTATACAATAATAAATACCCCAAAAACAAGCCACTATACCCGCAAGTATTGTCCACTCCAATTTATTTTGAATAGGTAAAGGTTTTCCTTGTTTACCAATTGTTTGATATTTTTGAAAACATATTTCTGAAATTTGTGAAGAGAATTTTATTGGATCTGTTTCCCATGGATTATTAAAGGATTGTGCCATGCCATAATGATTATCAAGTAGAATATTATTTTAATGGCTGGGTTTATTCACATGAATTACACAAACAATTTATGATAAACGTTTTTAACTAATGTGATCTTTATAATCTACAATATAAAAATAAAACAAAATTATTGAAGTTTTAAGGTTGCTTCATCCTTTATATAGAGGTAATTTTAAATTTTTTTTAAAATATTTGATAGATTTAATAAACGTTTATTAAATTATAGGTACGAATTAAAACAAGCAAGCATTAAATGAAATCTATGAAAATAAAAATTTAAGTGAAATAAGTGAATTAGAAGAAAATACAGAAATTAAAAATGAATCATCCACTAGCTTAAATATAAATCAATTTGTTGACCTAACATTGCTTGCATTTTTATCTACTAGAGATAACTTATTTACTAATAATAGGCAAGAAATCATAATTTAAGCAATATAGAATATAAAGTGCATTAAAAGAAGAAATGAAAATTGTAATTTTATTATTTTAGCATTCATTTTATTATTTGCCATATAATAGTTAAATGTATTTATCTATAGATAAAAGAAAGTTTAAAATTTATACTATTATTTCTTGTTTTTCCAGTTTCATCTATTAATCATACATATTTCACCAATATTACAATTTCATCATTATTATAATATATATCATATCATCCTTTTTCACCAGGTAAATAAACTGACCTTCAAGTTGCACCTTTGGATTTTGGTTTGTTAGATTTGTCTTATTAAGAGGAATCTAGCTGTAGTATTTTATGTTAGCCTGAGTAATATTGATCAATATATTTATATTTAATTTAAAGTCAATATGATGTAATTGTTATACCAAGGACATAATGACAAAGACTAAAAGTCTATATCTATACTTAATACATAATCCTAGATTTAACTTCACTTTCTTTCATATATCAAATGTTTCCTTCCATAATTGTGAATTTCATATTATCAAAACAATTGGGGAATTGGAAATATTTAGGTATTGTATGTTAAGTTAATTTATCTTTATTACGAAGAAACTGTCAAAATAACCTTTGTCAATTCTTTAGGATTATTCTCCCATATCGATTCCTAGAGTACACAACTTTCTTTCTTTATGATAACTTTAATGGGCATCCAAATAATTTGGAGACACCTACAACAACAAAATTAATTATAAGTCTCAATGATGCCTTTAAACACTTGACGAAGAACATAAGTCAAACACCAATTTCGGTCCTTGCCACATTTGAAAAAATTTTTGGAATGAAATCTTGTAAATTTGGTGTACAAGACAATGTATCTTTTATTTTGTTTCGCCTGACTAAGACAGTTAATATAGATGAAAAATGGATCAAACAAATTACTGACATGTTCAATGTCCTTCTCAGGTATTGGGAAAATTGTATGCAAGGACAACAACCAAATGTTTATAAAATGACTTTTTTGTATTGTTGCTATCCTCTTCACTAACTTAAAATTCTTTTAAGAATTCCAATCTTTGGTCATTTGCAATAGCAATTTTGGCTGCTATTTGTTCTTGTCACTTTTTGCAAAACCTAAACACGCAAGAAAACGATAATCCTTTGACTTATGAGCAAAAACAACAGCATCTTACGCGTCTCAGAAATATTCTGATAAGAATCTGCCAAAATTTGACTAATAGACAAATGGCTGACTTTAATGGTTTGAATATTTCTTTATTTCTTTAATCATTTATTTGAAATATAATTAAACTTTATTATCACTAGATAATCTCGGCGTTCTTCAAAACCATCTTGGTAATTTTGAAATATTTGTAAACCAATCAAATGTTTCTTTAGAAACTAAAATAGAAGTCAAAGAAAAGATAGAAACCAGATTAAGAATGTATGTTACTCAAGTTTGTAATTTTTTATATTCAAAAATTGACTACCTAATTCATAAAAATTACTTTTTCTATAGTCCCTCTTTTATTTCAATTGGAACAACGGCTGCATTCTGGACTTCTTTAAATTTTCAAATGGTATGTTATTTTTTATAGTGTTCAACATAAATGGAACCTTGCAATAATACCAATTTATTTTTAGAAAGTTTTTGGTACTATGACTAGTGATGTATTAGTTTTTGTTATGATAATCAAGCAAAAAAAACTGCGTGAAATCATTTATGAGCATGAATGTATGCAGGGTACTTGCAAAAATTTTTGGGCGAGATTAATGAACAGATCAAATGATATTGACTTTGATGATGAAATTGATGGTCAACTATTAATCTGGCTTGTTCAATTTGAAGCTTTTCATGATAAAATTACAAGAGTTGAGTTTGAGAATAGAAATGTGCTATCTAGATTAATTGGTACTCTGTTCAAGATCAGCACTATTTAATTAATGTTATTATTTCAGTGTATAAGAAAGTATCTTTTATTTACTGAACTTTTACAAAATAGTATACTTGATAAATACTACAGTAAACTGATCATTATTTGGTGAATTTTTTAACATAACGTTTGCTAGTTAGTTGTATAACTAAATAACTATATTTTTTACTCTTTTTTTCTTTAACAATCATTATTACTTCATAATATTTCATTACTTGACTTTGTTTAATATAATTTGAAGTGGTTACGAATTAACGTGTCTGCGGTGTTCTAAATTATGTAACGTAATATGACATTATCTCCGGACTCAACAACCAAAATCTAAAAAGGAAATTTATACTTATAAAAATGTTTTTGATATCTTACCTTTGGAAAAATGTATTTTCAAAAAAAAAAAAAATACCATATAAAATTGATAGCTAGATCTTTCAATCTTATGTGCAGAATTTTGATTAGATCTTTTTTTTTAAAAAGAAAATTGGAGGCTTGACATAAATTATATCTAAAATAGCCTTATAATAAAAATAAAATTGAATCGATTTTAACAATGTGTGTTTAATATAACCTAAATTTTTACATGCCACCGAATGATTAGCTAATTACACAGTAAAAAAAATACAAATCAAATTGTAGAACTTCTGATAATGTCATTTTAGAAATTGAATAATTAGAGCAGTTGAAACATTTGTCGAGTTAAAGCGTAACGCACTGTATCACGATAAACAAACTGAAAGGTCAGCTGGAAAGAAAATTCAAATCAAAACGGAACTTGATATCTCTTTATGTCCTAAAGTATGAAGTCCAACGTTACATTCCGGACAACTAGAAGTTGTAGGTCCGGAGATATTCTCACGCGATGCTTTGTTATGTTGCACAATTTGCAAGAAAATTCAAATCAAAAGCGGAACACTCTGGGCAATCCAGCAGGTTTCTTTAACTTCTGCTTTCTTTCATATATCAAATGTCGGGGTTTGTTTTCTTCCATGATAATAAATTTCGTATTGCCAGAACAAGAAGGGAATTAGGAAATTCTTTGGTACTTTAACATAAAAATAACCTTTGCCAATTCTTTAGGGTTGTTCTCTCAATGCGATTTCTGGAGCATCCAGCTTTCTTTTTGATAACTCTTTCTCTAATGGGCGTCCAAACAATTCGGTGACACCTGTGGCAACAAACTTAATTACAATTCTCAATAATACCTTTAAATACTTGGCGAGGAGCGCAGTTGAAGTGCCAGTTTTGGTCCTTGACAGATTTAATATGCAAGATGGAGTATCTATTATTTTGTTTCGCCCGGCTGAAGCAGATGAGAGATGGATCAGACAAACTACTGACAGGTTCAACGCCTTTCTCGATAATAGAAGGATTTGGGTGCAAAGACAACCAATGGTATTATAAAATATGACTCTTTGTATTGTTGTTATCATTTCCACTAACTTCAAAATTCTTTTAAGAATTCCAATCTTTGGTCACTTGCAATAGCAATTTTGGCTGCTATTTGTTCTTATACATGCAAGAAATCGATGATCCTTTGACTTATGAGCAAAAGCAACAATACGCACAGCATCTTATGCGTCTCAGAAACATTCTGATGAATATCTGCTAAAATTTGGGTGATAGACAACTAATTGGCTTCGATGGTTTGAATGTTTCTTTATTTCTTTAATCATATATAATTAAACTTTATGCATATTATCACTAGATAATCTCGGCGTTCTTCAAAACCATCTTGATAATTTTGAAACATTTGTAAACCAATCAAATGATGATTTAAAAGCTAAAATAGAAGTTCTACAAAAAGAAAAAGAAATGAAAGAAATAAAAATCGGCAACAATGTACGTTGATCAAATTTGTGATTTTTTATAAAATTGAGTGCCTCTATTGTTTCAATTGGAGCAACTACATGTTTGGCTTTAAGCGCTTCAATGGTATGTTATTTTTATTGTGTTCAACATAAATGGAACCATGCAATAATAACAATATATTTTTAGAGATCTTTAGGTGCTATGGCTAGTGGCGTATTCGTTGGCATTTCATTTCATTATGGTAATCAAGTAATAAAACTGCGTAAAATCATTCATGAAAATAAACATATGCAGGATAATGTCAAGACCTTGCAAGAATTTTTGGGTGAGATTCATAGACATAATGATAGCATCAGGTGAAATTAATTATGAACTAAGAATCTGGCTTAAGAAATTTAGAGATTTCCGTGATGAAATTGCAAATATGATGGTAAACTTTTTGGGGCAAAATGAGGGTAATGACATCTATCGCTTAAAATGAAAATAACGTGTTCATCTTAAATGTATTTATTGTGGTTATGTTTATTAATGGCCCTTTATCCAAGCAAATATTATCATTACGTATATTTTAAACCATTTAAAAAATAAAACAATGATAGCAGTTTTATTTCAATATCTAAGATTTTAAAGTATTATTTTAATATCTTTTCATTGAGGCAAAACTATACGTGTTGTCCGGCCTTGTCTTAATTCCAAAAATTTCAATTTTTACATACTATTTCCATCTCATAATTTCAACTGCAGAAAGACATATGTTTGATTTTTGCTCAGATATTTTAAATTTTGCCGATCGTGACGTTCCGTCATATGATCAATCGTAGACACTGAATGAATTAATTGAATTGAATTACGGGGAAGTAAAAATAGTAAAGATAAAAATGATTACCACTTTGAACCGAACCTGTGAAACCAATAGGCTTTTGAATCCTATAAATAGATTGCGTAATTATCCTTTAAAATATTTTCTTTGAAAAATATTCATCCTTTAAAAAATATTTAACATATTTAACTTTAGAAAATAATAATATCCGATAATATTCTATTCGATATTATTTTGTGATTATTCGATTCGGTTGATAGAAAAAAATTATAAATAAAACATCATTAAATATTGTATTTTTTTTTAAAAAAAAAAAAAAATTTTAATTGAATCTCTTTAAGAAAAATTAAAACTTTAAGTAAAAAAATTACTCGAGACATAAGATAACAATGGATAGGTGAATTAAATTTTATTTCGAAATATTTTCGATACTCTCTATATTCCTCTTTTTATCAATATTGAAAAAAAAAATAATTTATTAATTTTATGTATATAATAATTTTAATAAAGTCTCGAGTTTGATCTTCATGGATTAATTCTTAATCAATTAGCCGAGGTTCTAAGTTCAGATAATAATGATACTACAAATGAAGAATTGGAACGTTTGATAAAGCGATGCCCAGAAATTTCTATGAATAATGAGGAAGAAAATCAAATTGGAATAATAGTAAGTTTCTTATATAATTTATTTATTTTCTAAATTATTTTAAAAATTATTTATAATTATTTAAATTATTTTATTTTTAATTTTTATTTTATTTTAATATTTTATTTTAATATTTTATTTTGATATTTTATTTTTAGAATAAGATATGCGTACAAAACATATCAGCATTAGCTTCATTTGCATCAAATACAAATAATGAAGCATTCGTAGATGAAATTCTCCCAATTCTCTTAAAATATTTAAAATATCTTCCAAATTTTTCATTTGAAGTAGATCTTACATGGAAGGGTATTGTTTCAACAACTTGAGTATAGTAAAGATAACATTTTTAAATTATTGATAATTTATAATAATCATAATCATAATAATAATAATCAAAATAATAATCAAAATAGTAATCAAAAATAATCAAAAATAATCAAAATATAAAATCTTTAATTATTATTATTTTATTATTATTTATATTTTATTCATCAATTCTTTTATTTTTTACCAAAGATTATTCTCTACCGGATCAACTCTCAGCAATTATTGTAAAAGAATTATTGAACATAGCGATAAAACATAAACAACAACGAGAAAAAATTTTCAAAGAAGTTATTTCATTTATGGGAACATTCTCAAATTTATTAAAATGCGGAGATGGTAATTAATTTAATTGGTTATATTATATTAATTAAATTATTTATATTATAACCTAAATTAAAATAATTAATTATATATTTGATTAAATTAATTAGTTAACTTTGTTTGCACAATTATTCTTCCAATGTTGAATGGATTATTTCGAACAATTCAATTATCACATTTCCCATGGAATTGTAATGACTTTGAATCCTTGGCTCATCAATCTCAATTACTTATACATAATGATTGTTTAAAGGAAGTTGTTTTAATATTAGAGACAGTAATACAATCAACAGATTTATCTTTAAATTATGCTAAAAAAACATTATTGAGATATTCAATTCTAGGATACCCTTTATCAAGTAATGGAATTATATTTGGACTTATCACTTTAATGAGAAATATGTTGGCTCGAGCAATAATATTGAATAATAATAATAAAAAAAATAACAACAATAATAACCACTACAACAACTATAATAATAATAATAATAATTCGGATAATAAAGATGATACTTTAATGATGACAATTAAAGATGTTTGGAATTCTTTAGTAACCAACAAAATGGAAATATCTAAACCTGTCACGGATTATGTTAGAAAAGCTTTAAGAAAAGCTTATGTAATGTCATTACAATATTTTTCAGAACTTACAATAATTATGTCTCAAAATAATGATTGTCCGGCAGCACTTTATGCTAGAGAAATAATGTCTGCTAGTTTGGTATTTATTATCTCTCTTTCATTTCTTTCTTTCTTTCTTTCGGTTATATATTATATATATATATATTTATTTATTTATAAAATTTCATTAAAGGATCTTTCTGTTGTAGCAAGTGTCCTTCTTCATGAAGTTGATGATGAATTAATAAGCAAGTTCACTTCTTCCTTATCTATTATTCCTCGAACTCCGGATTTGAAAGTTCAAATTTCTGCATTAGATGCTGCTACAATTCTCGCTTTAAAGTTAGTAAAAATTACAATTCATTTTTAATACAAAAATATTTTATAAATATTTATCTTTAAAAATTATTAGTTTTCCACAAACCTCAACAAATATGATTCAAATAATAAGAAAATTTCTGACCACACCTTCAACCATATTTGAATTGGCTGTAACAGTTAATACAAATCTCACAATTCAACAATATGGCATTGAAAGATTAGCACATTGTCTCAAGGTATTATTAAAAAAAAAAAAAAGAAGTTCTTTTTATTATTTTAATTAAAATGAATATATTTATTCAAATTTTCTAATAAAATATTTATCAAGGTGATGAGTCAAGATATATCACATTCCGTAATTTATAATCTTCTCGCCACACTTTCAGGTAGTCTTGAACGGACTCCTACTTCACCAAAAAATTTATCCTCCCTCTCCGTAAATAATTTAAATAATTCAGATCAAGCTTCAATACATAGTAATGAAGAATTACGTCATCAAATGTTGGGAAATATTATTTATACGGCTACTGGGGTAGCGCGTATTTTAAAAGATGATAACGTACGTAAAATATTATATTTTTATTTTCATTTATTTTTTTTTTTAATACAATAATTATTTATGTTTAATAATTAATTATTTATATTTTTAGATAACGAGTTTATGTGTTTCTATGCTTGGTCAAAGACTTCGTAATCATACACCAGCTTTAGATGAAACTATTCTTGAAGAATTTGTTAATTTGGCTTTAATTTCTTCGGAAAAAAATTTTGTGGAAATAGTACGAAAATTTTCGGATATTAGTCGTCAATCATTATCTCCTGATAATAAAATAGTTACTACTGCGGTAATTAATATATTTTAGTTGGTTTAATATTTGGTTATTAATTGATTATTTTTTAATAAAATTGTTAATCAATTGTTAAATGTTTATTAATTTATATTTAATTATATTTAATTATATTTAATTATATTTATTAGGTTCTTAGATGTCAGCAAAATTTAGCTGAGAGAATTAGTTGTAGACCTGAATTTTATGAAATATATTTATTAAAAATTTTATCATTGTTTGTGGAAAAAGGTGTAGCCATTCAACAAATTATAACCAAAAATCGCAACTTTCAGGTATTTTATTATTATTATATATATATTTTTTTATATTATTCTTCTTTTCATAGATTTTTATAAATAAATTCTTTATTATAAATCTTTATATTCTAAATCGTATTATCATATTATTATATAGGTTTCATCCCTTGCAGGTGAAATCGGAATTTTATTACCAGTTTTAAAAATACTTTTATCACATAAAGATTTTAAATTGATGAATGCCTCCGAAGAATTAGTTGGGTTGTTTCGTAATTTATGGTTTCATTGCGTTTTATATGGATTTGTATCGGAAGATTCCTGGATGCGAGAATGGAGAGATTCATTAATTGTGATTGCACAAAAAACACCACCACTTGTTCAAGAGTCAGCTAGAAATTATTTAGAAAGTGATTTGGAATTTAATTCCGTTTTAGTTCGAGGAAATTCCGATCAAGATCTTTATGCAGTTAAAAATGCGTTATCATCATTTTTACCAAGTCGAGCGTACGAAATTAAATCTTTTTCATTTGCGGAAATTACATTTTTACTCTCAGTTTATCATATTGAGATGATGAGAAGTTTTATGGGTCAATTCTTTTTTATTCAAAGATATTTTGTTAATGAAGGAGTAAATTCTAGTAAATTGATTGGATGTATGGAAGAAATTTGTAATCAGGTGGGTTCTTACATTACATTTTAATTTAACTTGATCTACTAAAAAATTTGTGACACAAAACTAAAAAATAAAATTTATATTTTTATATTTTTATATTTTTATATTTTTTATATTTTTTTATTTTTATATTTTTATATTTTATATTTTTATATTTTTATATTTTTATATTTTTATATTTTTATATTTTTATATTTTTATAGGTAGTTAATATTTTCATCAAGGAATGTTCAAATAGAGCAATAGCACATACAATTGATGATGATATTCGTACTCAAGTACGAAATCTTATGATTGCCACTTGTCATCGTTTAAATAAAGTTCATCAATTAGCCATTAAACATTTAGATAGTTTGATGATAGCTTTCCCATCTTTTTTGTGTGATAAAAAATTATTATTTTTATTATTGGAATTAATTGAATTGGTTTGGCAAAGTTGTGAAGCGGAATATGAAAATGAAGTAAGTTTTTTTTTTTTTAATATTATTATTAACATTTATTTGTTATTATTATTATTATTCTTATTAATTATATTTAGATATATCGATATATTTAATATTATGTATTTATTATTATTTTTTTTTAATTATTTTATTATAACATAAAGTATTCTCCAATATATACATTTACTTCTATCAAAGTTGGAGTAACCCTTAATTTAACTGATTCATACACTTATCGAAGGGAAATGTTATCTCGATTATGCGAAAATTCTAAAAAATGGCTTTCAATAGCCATGGCGCGTGCTCCATCCGAAATTCGAGGATTATTGGAAGTAAGTTACAAGAATTTTAAGATTTTATCAGATTATCAATAAATTATTTATATATATATCTATATCAATAATTATATCCCATTTTTATCATATTAACACCTTATTAGGATTATCTCAAAAATTTTGATTCAAGTCAAGTAGAAAATTCCATTCATATGGGTCGTTCAATTGCTCTTGAAATTGGTAAAACATTTTCGAAATTAAATTATAGTGCACGTAAGTATTAAATAATAATAATATTTGTTAATATTTATTTGTTATAATAGTTTTTTTTTTTATAATTTATATATTATTAATAATTTATATCACACTTTTTATTAGTTACATATCCACGAATACCTACAACGGTAGTAGATAATATTTCAGAATTTATAAAAGATTATTCTGCAAGAAATTTTTATCTTGGGCAAGTTATTGGTGCTCGTAACTTTAATTTTGATGAAGGTAATTAATTGTCAATATTAATATTAATATTATTAAATGTTAATATTATTTATGTTATTTATTTTAATCTTTCTTTTATTTTTTATATCAGATAAGATTGAATTTCCTTCAGCTAAGATAACAGATCAAATCATAAATGAACAAAAACAAAAAATGCGAATTTCTTTGCAAAGTTTAGAGAGAAGAGTTCGTAATGGATCACATGTTTCATTTAAGGAATTAAATAGAAAATTACATTTTGTTACTGCATTATTGGTTTCTATGCCAAAAGTAAGTAAGATAAATCAAAGATAATTAATTAATAATTATAAATAAATTAGGATAATTTTATTTATTTATTTATTTATTTATTTATTTATTTATTTTATTTATTTATTTATTTATTTATTTATTTATTTTATTTTATTTTATTTTATTTTACTTTATTTTATTTCACCTTATTTTACCCCACCTTTTTATAGCCAGATGAAGAATTGGTGAATTATGTTGTATGGATTCCTATATATTTATTTACACTTGAATCCATAAAAATGGGAATTTATCTTTGGAATTGGATAATAAATGAAAAACCTATACTTGAAAAGAGAGTTATGACAGAAATTTCATTGGGATGGAATTGGTCAGTGAGGAATCGTAAAGGTTTATTCTCTTCCATATTGAAGTACGTGTGTTTTTATTCTTTAATCCGAATTGACATATAATATTTATACATTTACTTAATAAATATTAAAATAATGAATAAATAACTAATATCTAATATTTATTTAATAAATATTTAATAATAATATTTTAATAATAGTATTAAAGAACCATTTGAGAGTAAAATGCAATATGCACCTTCAGATAAAGCTACTAGAAATCAAAATATGAGATTGGCCAATCTTTTATTTGGGCCACATTTAATTTGGATACAATGGTTATCTGGTCGTTTTCAAGCATTTCGATATCGATGCGCTGAATTAGTTCATCTCTATGTGAGATTTTTTCAATTAACACTTGATGAATGTGAAAACGTCTGGTAAAAATATTTTAATTATTATTATTTTAATTATTATTATTATTATTTTAATTATTATTATTTATTATTCAATAATATTATTCAATAATATTATTTCATTAATATTATTTATTAATCATTAATTATATTAATTATGGAAACAGTAATCATGCATTGTCTCGTGAAGGAAGACTTCAAATTATTATATTAGGTTTTAGAATATTACAATCGAATAGATCCGAAGCATTGATTGAACATAAATTCCGGGAAGGAATTTATAAATCAGCTTTCTCATGGTTTTCTCTTCCTCCTAGGTAATAAAGATTTATTAAGATTTAGAATTTCTATTTTCTGAAATTTTATTATAATAATAAATTAATAATAATATAATAAAAAATTTTATATTTTTTTAGATGGATTTATGGTGGAAATAAAAGAATAATGAACACTGAATATAAACTTTTAATTGAAGTATATAAATTAGTTGAAAATGATAAAGTAGAATTGAATGAAGTTTTATCTACTATTCCAAGAAAACAATCTCAGATTTCAATTGCCACACCTAATTCATCAATATTTCTCACATCTCAAGGTTTTTTTTTTTTTTTTTTTTTCTTAAATTTATTTTATATATCAAATTTTTATTAATGAAAAAATTTTTTTATTTTTTTTAATAGATAACAAAGATAGAGGTGGAATTATAAATGATACAGATAAATCCAAAAAATTGCTTTTATTATTTTTGGAAAGTGAAATAAATAATTTAATAACATGGATTAATCCATCAAATTCACCTGATGTTATTAAAGATACATTTACTCCACATATTGAAAAAAGCATGACAGATGTAATTATTATTATTATTATTATTAGATTTCTATTTATTATTATTTAATCTGATATAAATCAATTATATTTTATATTTTGTAGGATAACTGGAAATCAATTATTCGTCATTCGTGGACATTATCTCCAAGTTTATCAGTACAAATGGCAGCTAGAATTAAACAACATCCAATAATTCAAATTGAAGTACAAAAATTATTAGCTAATCATTCAGTAGATGCTGTACGTGTAGCAGAAGCATTACCTTTATTATTGGGTGATAAATTAAATAATAATATTGTTTCTCAATTAAAGGTTTGTCAAAGATTTATATATATATATATATTCACTTTATTTTAATTGTTAAATTTATTATTTACTTATTTTTTACCTTTTTTTTTTTTTAATAACAATTTATATTAATAATTAAAATACCAATTTATAATAATAATTAAAATAATAAAAATTAAAAGTATTTATTATATTGGTCTCCAGTACCTCCAATAACTGCCGTTTCATATTTTTCAACGAATTATAATAATCACTCTTTAATTTTACAATATGCCATGAGAGCACTTGAATATTATCCAGTTGATTTGGTATTCTTTTATATACCTCAAATAGTTCAAGCTTTAAGATTTGATAATTTAGGTAAATTATAAAATAATGAAATGATCAAATCGATGGAATGAAGTAATGATAATTAATTAATTAAAAAATACTTCCCATTTTTTATTTTTCTTTAATTCTAGGTTACGTTGAACGTTTTATTTTGGGTGCCGCCAAAATATCACAATTATTTGCACATCAAATTATATGGAACATGAATGCAAATATGTATAAAGATGATGAATGCTTAATTGTAAGAGTTTTTAATTATAAGTGTTTAATCATTTATAATTATTTCATTATTATTATTATTATTATTATTATTTATTTAATATTATTATTTATTATTATTATTATTATTATTTAGCCTGATCCATTAAAACCAACGTTGGATAGAATTATTGATAACATAGTAAATTCATTATCAGGAGAAGATAAAGCATTTTATGAAAGAGAATTTAAATTCTTTGGTGATGTAACTTCAATATCTGGAAAATTGAAACCATATATTAAAAAAAGTAAATCTGATAAGAAGGTATTAAATAATATATATATATATATATATATATACATTAATTATTAATTTATTTAATTGAATTAAAAATATTTTAATGATTTTTCTTAATTTTTGTCAGGCCAAGATTGATGAAGAAATGGCTAAAATTAAAGTTGATGTAGGAGTATATTTACCAAGTAACCCTGAAGGAAAAGTTGTTGGTATAGATTATAAATCTGGAAGACCATTACAAAGTCATGCTAAAGCTCCTTTCATGGCTACATTTAAAATTAGAAAAAATGTTTATGATTCTTCTGAAGAAATTAAAGAAACATTATCAACATTAACTATTGATGATGATGATGATGATGATGATGATGAAAATAATGAGGATGATGACAATTATAATAATAAAACAAAAACAATTGATGTTTGGCAATCTGCCATATTTAAAGTTGGTGATGATTGTAGACAAGATGTTTTAGCTTTACAATTGATTGCTATTTTTCAGAATATTTTTACTAGTGCTGGATTAGATTTATATCTTTTCCCTTATAGAATTGTGGCTACTGCCCCAGGTGTAAGTATTTATTTATTTATTTATTTATTTTTATTATAATAATTTTTGATTATTTATAAATTATGTAGTGTGGTGTAATTGATGTAATTCCAAATTCAATTTCACGTGATCAATTGGGTCGTGAAAAAGTTAATAGTCTTTATGAGTAAGTTATCTTTATTTATTTATTTATTTTTTTGAGTATTATTATAATCTTTATTATTATATTTATTTGTTTTATTTTATTTATTTTTCAGCTATTTCCTTGCAAGATATGGAGTTGATTCAATTGCCTTCGAAAAGGTTTTTATATATTTTTTTTAGTATCTATAAATTGCTGGTTTATTACACATTATTGAAATTTTGAAAATTATTTTTTTTTAGGCAAGGAATTGTTTCATCCAAGCATGTGCAGCTTATTCGGTCGTATCATTTTTATTACAAATTAAAGATCGACATAATGGTAATATTATGTTGGATGATGAAGGTCACATAATTCATATTGGTATGCAAACATAATAATCTATCTTTAATTGAACACTTTTTGAGCACCGGATACTTTCATTACTTGCCGGATACTTATTGACAATTATTGAATTATTTTTTTTTAAAGACTTTGGTTTTATTCTTGATATTGCACCGGGTGGAATTACATTCGAAAGCTCCCCATTCAAACTTACAACTGAAATGATTCAAGTTATGGGTGGTAGTGCTGATAATCAACAATTTAAATGGTTTTCGGAATTATGTATTAAAGCCTATTTAGCTGCAAGGTAAACACACATATTTCTCTATCTATCTATATCGATTATTTATTTGGAATTTAATCCATTTTTCTTGTTGAATTCGTTTGAATGACAATAATTACTTGTTTGTTTTTTTTTCAAAGACCATACGCTGAGAATATATGTCAAGTTGTAGGTTTGATGTTAGGATCAGGACTTCCTTGTTTTAAAGGTGATACATTAAAAAGAATAAGAGATCGATTTCAAATTGATAAGACAGAACGTCGAGCAGCTGATTATATGATTGAAAAGATTAATCAATCTTTTGAAAATAAAAGAACTGTTTGGTATGATAGTTTTCAAAAGGCTACTAATGGTAAGAAATTTATATAAAGGAGTCAGTGGTGGTGGTGGTTATCACGAAAGTGTTAAAAGTGTTTTCATTCATTAACATTTTATTATTTCTTATTTCTCTTATTTCAATTCCAGGTATTCCATATTAAATTTTATTAATTTAAAATTTTTGTATATATATATTTTTTTTTTATTTTATTTTTATTTTATTTCATTCATTCATTCATTTACTTTATTTATCAATAAAATTTATTTGTATTTCTGTATTTCTTATTTTATATTATAGAATGATTATAAAGATTATAGATAATTTTTTTTTTTGTATTTTTACATTCGTTTCTTTAGAAATTTCTTTTAATTTTTTTTATTATTATTAGAATTTTTAAAATTAAAATTATACATGTTAGAATAATCTATAGTATGCATTAGATTAACTTCTGTCACTTAAAGAATTCATAATAAATATGTTGAAATACAACGAATACACCAAAATATATATTACCAATGACTCTTGTTATTTTATTTATAATAAAATTATTAATACATAATTTTACTTGCTACATATACAACGTATCAAAAATAATACCAAGTGCATCCCGGGCAATTAGTCAGTATATTCGAAGGCAACCCTCACTTTCTGCTGGAATAAATATCTCCCGTTCAGCAGGTTCAAAACACTTGGTTGACCTTGGATGCCGAAATGTTCTTCACTTTGTACACCAATGCTCACAACCACTCATAAACAAAAACGTATTGAATGGGCTCAAAAACACAAGGATGATGATTGGAAAAAGACATTATTTAGTGATGAAACAGCTTTTCAATTATTCCGCAATACAATCAAGCACTGATATAAAAATGCAAAGACAATTCATCCTACACCAAAGGACCAAAGTAAAATATTCGCATGGAAAATTTTATGTAGAAATCTTAAAAAACATATTCCAGCACTAGTTGTGTTACCAAAAGAATTCCTTAATAATAATGTCTCCGAAGTTATGGATTGACCCAATAGTCCAGACTTGAACCCCATTAAAAACCTTTGGGCGATTTTTTTTTTTTGCATCTAAATGAGTAGAGATTTTAATAAATTGTCTTATAACTCGATGAAGATTGACTCTATAAAGATAATTAGACACCAATTTGAATCAAAAATAAAATTGACATAAAATTTCCTAATATAATATATAGAAATAAAATTGGGATCTTTGCGTAACGTGGATGTGCACGTTGTAGAGTTTAGTGCAACCGAAGTAAAATATATATCTTAATTAAATTTATTGTTTATAATTTTTACAATAATAATAATTATTATTATTATAATGGATGATGAATTAAATGAATATAGTATAATTAGAGAATATCCAGATGAAATTATTATCTTAAATGTTGGAGGAGTTAAAGTAATCATTTATTATTATTATTATTATTTACTAGAATTTATTATCATAAAATTTTTAAGATCAAAAAATTTATAAATCAAAAATTTAAATAAAAAAAAAAAAATTAAAAAAAAATTTTTTTTCTAGTATGAAACATATCGGTCAACCTTAACAGCTTATCCAGAAACATTTCTTGGTACAATGTTTCAAGAAAGAAATCAAGAACTATTAAATTCCCGAAATGGTAACGAATATTTTTTTGATCGATCAGGACAAATATTTCATTATGTGATGCAATTTTATCGAACAGGAAAAATATGTTATGGAGATCAAAGTAAGTAAATTTGGTTTTTATCTACTTTCATTTAAATTTTGACAACTGACTATCATAATAACTTTTTTTTTTTTTTTAATTTTTGGAATAAAAATAATGAAATATTATAATCAATGGAATATTATTATTAATGTAATAATTAAAATTAAAAAAGTTGGACCAATGCCAATAAGTTTAAAAGAAATAGAAACAGAATTAGATTTTTTTCAAATACCTCGATCTACTGCATCAGCTATAGATAAAGTTGTAATAACGAAGGTGACCAATCTAATCAATGCATTTAAACAATTAATTAAAGAAGTAGCAGAAATTTATATGAAAGAAAGTTCATTTAAAAATTTTAAAGCAGAAATGCAAATATTATTCTTAGATAATGGACAAGCCACAGTAAATGTGGATAAAAAAGGGATATCGGATATATTTGAAAATACCAAAAATTATGCATATTACATTATGGCATTATATAAAGATGAAATTAAGAGTCACCTTGAAAATGAATATCCTGAATTAACTTGGGTACATCAACATACTAGTGGTGAAGATTTACAATATTGGAAAATTAGAATTACCATAGATTGGAATTTAAATTATGAAAAAGTTTTGGCTAATGTTTTAAATATTTAAATTATTTTAAATTATTATTATTATCATTCTCTTTTATTCTTTTTATTCTTTTTTATTCTTTTCTATTCTTTTTATTATTCTCTTTGCAATGACCATATTACTTTGTATTCAATATAATAATATAATCATATTTTTAATACCTTTTGACGCGCGTATATCGCGTGTTTGTACATTATAAACTTGATAAACTTGGGACAAAAAAATGATCTCTATTTTTTTAATGGTTGAAATTTCGCATTTCATACCGTGTATTATTTTTAAAAGTTATATGAAATGAAACATTATTACGATATTAAAAAAAAAGCATAGATACGCTATTTTAGTACAAATTTTATTTCCCGGAAAAATAAATCCTCCCAATTACAACAATTACGAGTCTAATTAAATCTAAAAAAAAAATAACAAAGGATAGATAGATATAGAAAGAGGAATATATGATTATATGATCTAAGGTCGTTTTGAAGATAACCATATATTGGCATTCAAGAATTGAGATGAAATTTCATTTGAAATAACTTCTGCATTTTTTGCATTCTTAAGAGATTTTATGGCAACAATAATCTACAATAATAATAATAATAAAAATAAAAAAGAATTAGAAATTTTTTGAAATAAAAATTATTTAATTAAATTTGATAAATTTGATAATTATAAATAATAAATATTTACTTCATCCCAAAACAAAAATCCATTCTCTAAATCAGATTTCACATTTATGCATGATGTAAATGTTTCCTCAATTTTTTTGAGTGCATCATTTATGAGTGAATTGTTTGTACTTTTGTTTTCATTATCTTTAGTAACTGCAATAACATTTTCTAAATAAGTCATCACAATTATTCCCAATCCAGTATTTACATCATACAAGAATGGTAAACTGTCAAAAATAAAATAAAATAAAATAAAATAAAATAATAATAATAATTAAATAACAAAATTAATTAAGAACAATATTATTTAATTATAAAATTAATTAAATCACACCTACCTTAATGTAATATCAAGATAATCAGGTCTTTCTTTCACACAATCACCATTTAAAAACATTGATAATGTTAACATTTCACATAAATTTCTCAATGAACGATTTAATGCTTTTACAAAACTGTTAAAAGCTAAAAGTTCCCTGGAAAGGGGTCCAATCCATGGTCCACCCTATTCATAAATTTATGAAAAATTTTATTTTTATATATCAATTTATCAATTTCTCTCTCTCTCTCTCTCAGCAAAATAATAATAAAATATTTACCTTGAACTTGGCAGGAATAAGACTAAGTGTTCTAGAAATTAAGAGAATGTGTTTCTTTTCTTCATCTAAGTGAGAATATACCAAATATTATAAAAATAATCAATATTTTTTAAAATAATATTCTAAATGATATTCTAAAAAAAAAATAAAAATTTAATATCAATAAAATAAAATACTACTTACCACTAACATGACTTGGGGAAGAATAATATGATCTACTATAATGATTACCATGTAAATAACCAAATCTAATTAATTCTAAAGCAGTGAATAATTGTTCATGATGTGATTCATTGTTATTATTAGGTTTAGTAATATTAAGTGCTTTACAGAAGGCGTTACCCCATGTGGTATGAGTATGTTGAGAATGTGTTAGAAATCTAAAAAATATATATATATAAATTTATAATTTAAAAATAAATAATAATTAATATAATCTTTTATATATTAAAAATATAAATTCACCTATAAATAACTTGAAATAACTTTTTTTAATCTTACTTTCGTAATTCTAATAATTTCCATAAAACATTAGCACATATCTCATCTTTGGATTCTATAATTTTGTCATTATTTTTTGGCATCACTGTTTTAGCCGCTTGATCTTCAGTTGCCGTTGTTTTCAAACAAAAAGCAATGTCAATCGTAGATGTCTAAAAAATATTTATTAAAGAATAATTTGATTATTGTAATTAAAAAAAAAAGAAATAATAATAATAATCCATAAAATGATATACTTAATAATTAATTAAAAAAAACATCTTTTATTTATAAGAAAATACCTTTTGTGCTTTCTTCTCATCTTCTAAACATTTTTCCAACACATTCCAAGTGTTCAATGTTTCATGAACACTTGGGACAACATTATGATTTAATACATGTTCAGTGTTAGCAGTGTTAGCAGTATTAGCTTCAAACCAATAAACACTAATAACACGTCTAGAATGATAAAACTGGTGTAAAGGTTGAGTAAGCAAACCCATAGCTTGTGCACGAAGTTCAAGTAGATGACTAAGGAATTGTCGATATTCTTGCGTTTCGCCATTACATAATGGTGAGCTTTCAATAAGAACTCCAGAAATTAATGTATTAATAACCTATTAATAAAATTATTACAGTTGTCAACAAAAAAAAAAATTCATAAGAATTGAATCCAAAAAATTAATATTTAAATCCATATTTAAATACCTGTGGGGACATTAATCCTCTTGACAAATAATAATAAACTTCATCAGGTAATCGATATCCAATCACGTCATGGATATCGCTGGGTGAAGATTCTGAATTCAAAGGTTCCACTTTCCCTTCATCAGTCAATATCATATGATATTTAATCGCACATCTTGTACGACAGAAAGTTTCTATATAATTTGTTTTCATGACTGCCGCATGATCTGCGTAACTCTGAACAGCATTAAAACCGTTTCTATGTTGTTTAATTAAATCATGGACACCTTTAAAGCTGAATCCGACAAATTCAGAGTTAAGTGGTGGAAAAGTACCACAATATTCAAATCCAGCAAGAATGCAAACATCCAAGAATTGTTCATCTGTTAATGCGAGATCATTAAGAATGTGTTTCTTGTTTAACCATGAGTATGTACCTTTCTAATTTATTTTTTATTTTTTTAGAGGTAAAATTTAATTTAATTTAATTAATTAATCTATAAAAAAATCTATTGTATAAAGACTCAAAAAAAAAAAAAAACACGAACCTCTAAATCTATATTAGTGATAACCTTTTCAACATCATACATTAATAATTCTGATCCACCATAAAGAGCATGAACATAAGCTTTTGAGTGACGTTCTAGATACACCAACTTGTAAAATCACGTGAATTAATATACATATAGAGTTGACATAAGTTATATCTTTCATAATGATCTTGGAGGACTAAAACATATTTCTTATTTGTTGTTAAAGATTTAATGAAATTTGATGAAATTTGATGAGGGATTACGATAAGTAATTTTAATTGAATCAAAAAATATGTGAAATTCTGAATTTTTCAAATAATCCCTTTTTTATCCCAAATTACTAATAATATTTAAAAAAAAATCATATTATTATTAATAATAATGAATTAAAATACCTGTCCCCATGCAGAATAAGGTGCTCGAATAAATTCTATACCATGTTCTTTGAAAATTTCAAAGACAAAACAAAGTAAATCTGGTTGATGAATAGATACAGGAACTCCCCAAGTAATCCCTCGATTCTTCTCATAAATATCCCATGCTTGAGCTCGTTTCGCTGGTCTATTATCTTCTGTTGAGAAAGGTTTATCTTTACGAATAACACTTAATCCATTAAATACAAATACTGGTGTAATCCCAAATGATCTATCGATTTAATTAAATTTTAAATTTAATTAATTAATTAAAATTCTTAATAATGATAATAATGAACCAAATTAAATCAAATCAAAATCAATACTTCTTTTTAAAAATTTTTTTACTTTAATAACTCTAGTTCTTTTTCTATAGCTGCTTTAAGTCCAAGGGGTAAGCCTCCTATAGCTGCAGTCAAAGGTTCCTTTGCTGTATTTTGTAAAAGTTTACGAAGCCAATGTGCACCTTCAATACCAAGACGAATATCTTTCAAATTGGCGAGTGAAGAAACCAAAGCAAGGCGACGCTCGGCAATAAAAACTATTTAAGAAATTGAGGTTAAGTTGCGATCTGGAAAGTAACTTGAAAAAAAAAATAATTTCATTGCAATAAATTTTTATAATAAATTTTTAAAGCAAAACAATTTGAAACTTTTTAAGTAGGAAGTTTTGCTAACAATTTATTTAACTTACTGTCAAAATGTCTTATCATTTTGTAATCCAAATAGTGAAAATCTAAAATTTGTTTTTCGTCGAAAATTTTTAAATTTTCTATATTCACGTGACAAAAATATTTTCAAAAAAAAAAAAATTGATGGACATTGTATGGAACGTGGCACAAAAACAATATTCCCAAGGAAGATGTTTATTCAACCGTAGATATACTGAATTTTTTTTTTTTTTTGCGCGTAAACTTTTCTTGATTATAAATCTGAGCTTTTACCGCATCAAAGATTGTAACGATTGTTGACCTATTCAAAGCCTCCTATTCCATCAAAGCAAATTTCCAGAAAAATATGATCGAATCAAAGCAAACAATAATTTGTACAATAAATTGAAATCCAAAAAAAAAAAAAATGTATCTCATATTTTAATAAATTATACAGGAATGTACAGAATATTATCAATTATAGTTGCCCCTGCAACCTAGCAGCCTTAAATCTAGATACTTTTTTTGGTTTTTCATCAATTGTTTGAGACTGAGGATTTTGTTGATCTTGAAATCGAGACTAAATAATAAAAATGAACAATTTATTACAATTTATTAAAAATAATAAAAAATTATAAAGTAATAACAAATAATAAATCTTATGTAAAAGAACTTTTTTACTTGTTGCGAAATAAGATTGAAACGTTTTTGATGATATTCCGATGCAATCTAAATAAAAAAAATAAAAATAAAAAAGATTTAAAATTTGATTGTATGAACATTTTAATCGAAATAATAAAAAAAAATGATTGCACGAACCTCTTTCATCCATATTTCATTCTCCATATTATCAACATCAACATCCTTTCCACCTTGTGATGTTTCTTTTTCTTTCACTACGGATTTAATTGCCGTATTCTTTCTTAATTTAGTATTTTGAGAAGGATTTTCTTTAATTCCTCCAATCGTACTAATAGTAGCACGTTCTTTATCTTCCTTTAAAGAAACCTCATCGGCAAATGTAACTCTCTTAATTCGTTCATGCATACAGTAATAGAATTCAATATTAAATTTGAATTTTTCATTATTTGAATATACATCAAAATCTTATTCCTCACCTTATTCTCCCTTCTATCTTCTTCTTCAATCTCGGATGAATCATCTTCACTACCTTCGAAATCTTCCTCATCATCAGAATCTACTATTTCCGCATGTTTCAATTCTTCTTCTTCTTCTTTGATAAGGGAATCAAAAAATCTTTCATCTTCAATAGATATTTTTTGTTTACTTTTCCCAGTTTCTATAAAATATTTGGCAATATTCAAATAATCAATTCAAATTATGCATTATAATTTGATGATGCAAAAACTTTTGCATGTACGTGCCTATTTTATGAATTTGACTTTCATTTAACTTATTTTGATCATTTTCTTTTATTTCATTTTCCTGTATCTCTTCAACTATTTCTACAAATGGTAATCCTTCTTCATTTAACTATAAGAATTCATATTAATAAAATGTAATAATGAGATAATGCCGGCCGAGCTTATGATATCAAAAAATCCTTATAATGCATAATCAATCAATACCCTTTCTGTGTGGTTTAATTCTAAAACATCAGTAGCCATCCCTATTTTAGTTCTTTGATTTTCTAACTGAATTTCCAAATCCTTAATGGTTTTTCTTACCACTGAATAAAAAAAAAATAATAATAATAATAAAATTTAACAAACACCAATTATGAAAAATTCGTGATTAACAATGCACAAACGCTTTGTATGTACTTGTCTTTAACCAAAGATTATTTTTTTAGCTTACAGAATAAATTAAAGCCTACTTTCAATTCTTCTCTCCACGATACCAATTGATTGTTTAGCTGAACGTTCTGCAAACCAATTTTCACCAAGCATTGCCATAATTTCGTTTGTATGAATAAGTTTTCCTGGCATAAACGCTAGGTTTCCGATCGGAACCTAAAATAAAAAAGAAAGAAAATTATATAAATTTATATCTTGAACAAATGTTACAAAGTCTCTTTCTACCCTACCATAACTTTATACTCCGTCTCTTGATCCAAATTCTCCAAGACCTCTTTTAACCCATTATAATCATTCTCGTATTTTTTCCAAATTTCTAACGTTTCATATGTTGTTATGATAACCTTTTCAAGTTTAGAGTGGAATGAGTCGGAAGAAAGTAAGGATTCCGAGATTGGGCTTTCCATTATTACTTATAGCATTTAAGCATTTAAGTGTTTCAATGAGTCATATGATTTATGTGATAATTGGTTCGCTTGTGCAACGGAGAAATTTTTAAGTTGAATCTTCAAGCCATTATAAAATTAGGGGACATGACCGATCTTCCTTTAAAGTAAAAGATGTAGATTATTAATGTTACGCAAATTAGATCGAAATGATTATAAATAAATCTTATCAATTAATATTTGAATCTTATCAATTATCTTCCTTAAACTTTAAACTTCTTTACAATATAACAATGTCCGTAATTTTAAAAGATCTAAACGACTATATTGCACCTTCCCAAGCATGCATAAAACCTGTTGAAGTTAATAAAACCGCAACTGATAACAACGTAAGTAAAGTTATTGTCCTTACTCATATATATATATATATAATGTATACGATATTTTGTAAACGCTTATTTAATTTATAGAATGTAATCAAAATAGATGATTCTGGTGGATATTATGAAGTTTCCCAAGATGGTAGTGAAACAAAACTTCAAACAGCTAGTATTACTTTAGACGATTGTTTAGCTTGCAGGTGAATATTAAGGAATTATTAATTATCTATTTAATTATTTCCGTTAGTTAATTAAATATTTTTTCAATTGTTAGTGGTTGCATTACCTCTGCAGAAAGCGTTCTCATCACAATGCAAACACATGAAGAATTATACAATGTTCTAAAAAGTAATCAACAAGCTATACAAGAAGGAAAACCAGAAAAATTGAAAACTGTAGTGGTTTCAATTGCACCTCAATCCAGAGCTTCTATTGCTGCTACGTATAATTTAACACCGTTACAGGTATTTTATATTAGAATTAATTATTAAAATATATACAACTAGTTATTAATTGAATTATATGTATTAATCTATTAATCTATTTTTAATTGGAAATATCAAGGTGGCTAAACGTTTAACTTATTTTTTCAAATTACTGGGAGTAGATTATGTTTTTGATACATCTTTTTCACGGGATTTTTCATTACTTGAAAGTGCTCAAGAATTTGTCGAACGTTATCTTGAACATCAAAGAAATCAAAATTCATCACCATTATTAGTAAATAATGAAAATAATGAATCCAAAAAAATTAGTAGAATAAAACATGGAGAAAAGAATGGAGAATATCAACCTAAATCAAATGATTCAAATGATTCACATTTACCAATGTTGGCTTCATCTTGTCCAGGATGGGTATGTTATGCTGAAAAAACTCATGGATTTATCTTGCCATATATAAGTAAAACCAAGTCACCACAACAAATTATGGGTTTAATTGTCAAAGATTATTTTGCTAAGAAACTGGGTGTCGCGTAAATACTTTAACCTAATATTTTATGTTTTATTAATATTTTATTACATTTCGAATTAATTTCTTGTATTATTATTTCTTGTATTATTATTTCTTTTTCATTTTAGGCCAAATAATATTTATCACGTTGGTGTTATGATGTGTTATGATAAAAAATTAGAAGCATCAAGACCAGATTTTTTTAATGAGGATTACCAAACGCGTGATGTTGATTGTGTGATTACAACTGGAGAATTAAATAAAATGTTTCAAGAACAAAATTATGATATCAAAGTTAGTCCAGAATCTTTCTTAGACTCTTTTACTAAGACCACTCATGATGGTCAACTATTAGGGTCCGCAGGATCTGCATCGGGAGGAAATTTAGAGTTTATTCTTGAATATTCTGCACGAGAATTATTTGGCATAACTGGAGTTGATGTAGATAAGGAAAAAGGTGTAATAATTAAAATTGGGCGAAATAAGGATTTCAAGGAATTTACACTTGAGGTATAGATATATATATTTTTGTTTAAAAAAAAAAAAACTATTATATATTAACTAGATTAACAATTATCTCGTTTTTAATTTCCAATTTAATTTTGATTTTATTTTATAGGTTGACAAAAAACCAGTTTTAAAGTTTGCATCTGCCTATGGCTTTCGAAATATACAAAATCTTGTTAGAAAGATTAAAAGTGGAAATTCCCCATATCACTATGTTGAAGTTATGGCATGTCCTTCTGGATGCATAAATGGAGGTGGTCAATTAAAACCAAGTGAAAATATACCAATTAAAAATTGGATTGCTGAAGTAAATAATATATATAAATCAGTTGATTCACAGTCACCTGAACAAAATGAAGTTGTTTTGAACCTCTACAAGTACATAAGCTTTTTATTTTATGTTTTCTTTTTGATTTTATAATAAAATCCTAATAATTTATTCTTTTGTTTAATTATATAGTGAATGGCTTGAAGGGCAAGATTCATCAAAATGTAAAGAAATTCTCCGTACACAATATCACGCTGTCAAAACAACTTTAGTCAATCCTTTGATTGTTAACTGGTGAAGGATATTTACTAATAATAAATTAGATTATATTATTATTAATAGTCATATATATTTGTTGTATATTAATATATTTATATAAATTTAGAAATAATAATTTTTTAGTATAATGTAAATTAATAGATAAATTATTTTTTATGTAAACTATCATTTATTAATTTTTATTATTAAATTTTTTCATGTATTCAATAAATTGACAAAAAACCCACCAGGATAATAAAATACAATCTATAAACGTACTTATAAGCATAAGCATATAATTTTTCTGGTTCAAATTTACAAGATTCATATATAATATATAGGATAAATTTATCCTAGATCTGGTTCTACACTCTTAACCTAGGTCACGATTGTATTTATCATGTGTTAGCTATTTTAAAAAAAAATTATTATGTAGGGTGTTTAGGATAAAAGTCTAGACTTGGGATCTATTTTAAGGATACTCTAATATAAACATATACAAGCATAACCTGTTTAAATGCATAGGATCCGAGGGTTATGCTAATAGACAGGTTCTACTGTATCTTGTATAAAATTTTCTTTTGATGTCTTTAATCCATTCTCATTATTATTACTTATGTTATTAATGGTTTCAAAGTAATTCTCCATAATTTCAGTAATGATATTAAATCTAATCATCCATTTATACTAGAAAATAGAAACCATTGTAAGTTCTGAAAAATAAATGTTTTTTTAATAAAATAGTCAGAAAACAAAATTTAAAATCTTCCTCACCTTTGTATTCATTCATCTCAAATGGAACCAAATCTGGTGTTGCAACTGTAAAAAGTCATTTGCAAGGTTGTACCTTATGTAATTGGCATTGTGACGAAATGGAGTAAGGGTTAATGGTCAACAGCTAAAATAACTAATACTTCAAACAGAGCAATGTTTGCAGCTTGCATTTGCATCTCTTCCTCATGTTATATATTTGATCAATCTTGCTGGACAATGGGATGAACACATTCAATAGCACTATTTAGGCAAACAATTTGCTTCTTTTCATTAATTTTCAGACAGAGGATAACTTTCAAGAAACAGTATGGACATACACTAGTCAAATACAAAGAATCACTGTACTGAATGATAATTCCTTTATTATAAATCAACTAAAATCAGAATTCTTAAATAATAGACCAGTTAAAATCAACCATCCTATATTATAAATCAGCTAAAATCGGAATTTCTATTTGTGCCAACTATTCTTTTGTATTTGACCTGTGATATCTTCAAAGTATTGTACTCATTTGTAATATCAATATGTCCATAAATGCAATGCTGTTCTCAAATTTTCTCAATACCTCATTGAGGGTATTTCTTAATGGAACTATTAATGCCCTGCCAATGTCTAACACATTGAATTATTGCTGATACCTATCTACTGTTCAAAAGTTGGATATAAATGCCAACCACATCTGTGATAGTTTCTTACTGCTAGCTATTTTGAATTATATCATCATATATTCCTAATTCTAATGTTTCTTGTATTTGTCATAGGCTTCTCCCTTCCAATTTTTTTTCTTTTTTTGAAATATTTTAACTTCTTTTCCAGATCGTAAATTTATCATTTATCACATTGTTAAGGTTGCTGGGCAAAACCTATTTGAAGGTTTGGCAAAAGGTAAAACCCTTACTTATAACAGTTTAAACTATTGGCAAAAGGTTTTGCCATTGACAAAACTTTTTTATTTGGCAAAACTATTTTATTTGACTTCGCTCGAGATTTACAAAACGTAGAGCGATTTTTACTAAGGCATTTCTAATATATAAAGAAAGGTCTTATTCTTGGCTACAAAATGATATGTGTTTCATTCCGATAGCATCGATATTCGCGGAGATATTCGCGTTTAAAGTTGAATATTCATGAAAAATTTCGTTATAAATTTTCTGTAATTTTTCATAATTCTAGCCAGAATTACGAAAAATCTATAGCAGAAATTTTCACGGACGTTCGACTTTAAACACAAATATTGATGCTACTGGGATGAACACATATAATTTTGTAGTCAAGAACAAGGCCTTTCTTTCTATATTAGAAATACCTAGTAGAAAATCATTTTATGCTTCGCAAATTGTCAAAAAAAAAAAAAGATAAAAAAAATGTGAAATTTTCTGGATTTTCATTTTTTTATGTTTTTTTAACTTCATTCACAATTCGTGAAGCAAAGAGTGATTTTCTACTAAGCTATTTCTAATATAGAAAGAAAGATTTTGTTCTTGGTTACAAAATGACATGTGTTTCATTCCGATAACATCGATATTCGCGAAGATGTTCGCGTTTAACTGTGAAACTTTTTGCCATAAATTTTCCATAATTCTGGCCAGAATTATGAAAAATTACAGAAAATTTATAACGAAATTTTTCATGGATGTTTGACTTTAAACGCAAATATCTCATGAATATCGATGCTACCAGGATAAAACACATATCATTTTGTAGCTAATAATATAGTCTTTCTATATTAGAAATATCTTAGTAAAAAATTGCTCTAAACTTCACAAATCGTGAGTGAAGTCAAAAAACATAAAAAAATTCTATTGATCATCACCTATTAAAGAAGTTTTGTCAACTGGAAAACCTTTTCCAGTTTTCCATTTTAAAAATCATTTGGCAAAACAATTTTAACTGTTTCACTTTTGTCAATTGGCAAAACCTACAGGCAACCTTACACATTGTATTTCCATAACTCAATAAATGTTACTTGAACCTGTATATACTTTGTATTATTATTGATTTTGTTTCTTTGGAATACTTATTGCATTGGTAATGAGGATTACAAGGTATTTGAAATTAATCCTGTAATAATATTCAAAAAAAAATATATATGGTCATATTCCATTAGACATTAGTTTCTTAAAGTCAATTATTCAGTGTTTCAAATTTTTTCTTTAGAATGTCAATTTTAGGTTTAGATTGAATAATATTTACTGTTCACAGGTCAAATACAAAAGAATAGATAACTAGAATAGCACTAGTTAAATACAAAAAAATCACTGTACCAAATGGTAGACCAGCTAAAATTAACTGTCCTATTTGTTCCTATATTATAAATCAGCTAAAATCAGAATTCCTATTTGCACCACCTATTCTTTTGTGTTTGACCTGAATAGGATTCTTCTAATGGATTTATGTTAGTTTGGGATTGAGTCAATGGCTTTTTACCTTTGACGACATGTATAGTATCCACCATCTAATTCTGTTTTGACGCAGTCACTTTTGAGTCCAGGTTTCACTATTGAGTCTTTTAATGGTTTTTTTATTGAATACTCAAGCAACTCGTTCCTTTAATGATATGTAGGGAATTAGAAAATTGAATTGGCACCGATCACTTTTTAATCAATAACTTATATTTCGTCTTATTTTCACACTTTCAAAAAAAAATTAAACAATATTTCTTTGTATAAAATAAATAGTGATACTATGATACAAACAATAATATTGTGAACGATGAATTTTTGGTGATTATAATTTAGAATAATTTTTGAGTCTGAAAGTTCAACATGCGCTAAACATTCTTGGCATTTTAAACGGACAAAATATTCAAAAAAGCATGTATTGGACAATATGAATGTAAGACGTATGAAAAACTTGGGATCACTTTTATCATCGTCCAAGAAGAGGCTTGAATTTTTGGATGATTGGTTAATAAAAAAATCAAATAACATTAATTAATGCTCTTATAAACAAAAAAAAACAAATATTTCAAATAAAATATTTGATTTACTTATATAAATAAATCTGCTTCACTTTAAATAAGAGCTTTCAAGAATAAAATTGCTTTCCATTTTGTAAAATCTAAAATAGGATCACTAATCCTATAAACTTGCTTCCTTTAAAATTGACATTCATTAATTATACAACTATGAATAGAATGATGTTTATTAAGTAAAACTAATAATATAAAAAAGCAAACTTTAATTATCACATTTATATGTATATTTCAAAAAAAAAAAAAGAAGATATTTTGACAAGGTTTATGTAATATAATCTATAAAGGAGTATTTATAAAGAAATTTTAATCACATGGTATTATTCATCACCAATCTTTGGAGCAAGATAATATCGAATATAACCAATGTCAACCATTTTATATTCTACAAGTAAAGGCATATTTTCAGATAAACAGAGCATAACACTTTCAGATAATGGGGTACCTTTTGTGAAATTTGTAAGATACTTAAGAGAAAATTGAAGTGAAACATCTTGACCAAGTTCAATAGTAACAGCTTCTTCAGGCTAAAAAAAAGAATTCAAAATAATTAGAATACACAAAATATATATAATAAATGTTTATTATTCACATTAAATCTTAAAAACAAACCTTATCAATAGATGATGTAGATTTTAGTTTAATGTTCCCAGAACCAAGTTCACCTTCTGCAGTAAACTTAATAGTATCTTTTGCTACATCAATAGTTACTATAATTATAACACGTAGATTTGATTATAATTATTGAAAAGGAAAAAAAAAATAAAAAATAAAAAATAAAAAAAAATTAAAAAGTTTATTTCAAAAGAAGTTACCTGATTCACTCACAACGGTCAAATCTCGACAAATTCTTTGAAATTCAGCTGATGGCATAACGATAGTAGCATCATAATCCGTATCAGGAATACTAAGATGCTCTTGATCAATATCCATTAATTTTAATTCATATTCACTGACTCTCTCATTACCTATTTTCATTAGAATACACAAAATACGTTGTAAGAGACAATTTATAGAAACTCTCAAAAGGATTAATATCATTTATAATATACTTACTTGGACTCTCAAAAGATAAACTTAAACTATCTGCTGAATTATCATCAGCTCTGAGAGTAATAATATCTTCATTTGCGGCACACTTTAATATCTTGTTTAAAGAGTTTAGATTCACTCCCAAAGAGAAACCTCTGTCACAACGATATGGTTCAAATCCTTCAGAACGTAATAAAAGTGATACTAACGCGACGTGAGAGTTGTCCATAGCTTGTAGAGCTATACCAGTTTCGCTACAATCAAAGTTCGCGTCGGTAACAAGCTCTTTGACGGACTCAAGTAATTTTTTGAGGAGACCACCTTGAGTAAGACGTGCTTCAAACATTTTTTATGTGGTTTATTATAATAAAATCTTAAAAAATTTTACGAAAGATTTTGTAAAAGACGTAAAAAAAAAAAAAAAAAGTAAAAGAAACGTAAAAAGACGCGACGAGTGAGAACAATCATTTTTATAATCTGAACTTTTTAAATCGTGTGACACCAGTACATAAATTTAGTTAATACAAATGTTTCGTTTTTGATACCTTTAATCAGAATATCAAAAAAAGATATGCACAAAATTGATCGAATGTTCACGTTAAAATTTTATTTTTAGTTATAATTGCTAAAAATCCATTATTTAATTTTTTTTAACCATCAAGTAAATCTCATTTTAAACGAATTGTATCTTTGTTTATCCGATTTAGATACACTTGGTGTCACTTTTTCAAATGCCATTTCAAAATTTGCAGAAGTTATAAAAATTTCACTTTCTATAAATTCATGTAATGATGGATTTTCTTCTTTAGAATATAAAGTGGTTCTTAATGCTGCAACTGCGGCTTCACGAACGAGAGATGCCAAATCTGCCCCACTAATTAATAATGATATTAATAATGATATTAATAATAAGTGATTGTTTTGATTTATTTTGAATAATCCAATTTGTCCAATTATAAAATATCGAAAATATCATAAATACGTACCTGAAATCTGTGCACCTTGGATCACGAGCGATGTTTTCTAATGAAACATTGTTACTCAAAGGTGTTTTCTTTGATAATGTTTTTAGAATTTCTAATCGCTCTAACTCTGTAGGTAATTCTACATATAAAAGCTTATCTAAACGACCAGGGCGCATCATTGCTGAATCAATTATATCTGTGATTTTGTGCACACGTTTGTATATTATGGATTAATGGAAAGTAAAAAAACATTTAAATCTAAAAAATAATAAATCATAAATTACCTGGTCGATTAGTAGCAGCTATAACATAAACTTGTTTCCGATTTTCTAATCCATCTAACTCAGTTAACAATGTATTAACGACACGAGCAGAAGCTTCAGACTACAAACCCAATTTTATAAATAAACAAATTAAACAAAATAAACTAAATTATATATAAATATAAATATTTCAAATAATAAAGACCTGTGAATCATCTCGTCGTGCACAAAGTGCATCAAGTTCATCAAAAAATATAACACATGGTGAAGAAGCCTTAGCTCTAGCAAATACCTGTCTCACACCACGTTCACTTTCACCCACGTACTATTACAAAAAATCCAATTAAGTGATTAATATTAATATATAATAAATAAATATAGGGATTCAAACTTCATAAAATGATAATATTAACCTTATTTAATAATTCGGGTCCCTTAACTGAAATGAAGTTTGTATGGCTTTCATTAGCGACTGCTTTAGCTAAGAGTGTTTTACCACATCCAGGAGGGCCCCACAATAAAACTCCAGAAGGTGTAGTTATGCCAACCCTTTTGAACAATTCAGGGTATTTTATTGGCTCTACTATTGCCATTCTCAACTCATCCCTTACAAATTTTAATGCGCCAATATCATCCCAAGTAACATCCGGTACTGTAGCAAATCCTTCACGTTTAGATGAAGGTTGCACTTTTGATAGAGCTTGCAAGAAATCCTCATTAGTAATACTCAAGGGTTCAAGCTCCTCTTCAGTAAGTGAATTTGGATGATTGGCAAGAAAACTGGATATTGAACGCAATTGCTCCGTAGGCGATTGATTTTCAAATGAGGTGAATAGATCTTGTGATGCAATGGAATTTGGTGACTTATTTGGTTGATTATCAGCCAATTGTGTGAAGATTCGTTTTACTGTGATAACACCTGCTGCAGTTGTTAACGCATTCAAATCGGCCCCAACATATCCAGGAGTTAATTTTGCCAAAGCTTTATAATCAAAGTCACCAGAAAGTTTCAACTTTGAAGCAATGACCTTTAAAATACTAACATATATATATATATATATTATTAACTTTAAATCAAAATGCGATAACAGAATTAACAAAATTAATAAAAAATTTACCTTTCTCTTGCTTGCTCATCAGGAACTCCTAGACTAATTTCTCTATCAAATCGACCAGCCCGACGAAGTGCAGGATCTAAAGAATCTGGTCTATTTGTCGCACCAATTATTAATATAGGTTTATTGTCCGTCTTATCCCATGATAAGTCTAAATAAAAATTAAGTATTTTAAAATTGATATATCATGATACAATCGGCAAAATGAAATGCTACAAAAATTAAATATAGAACATACCATCCATACAAGTCAACAATTGAGCAACAATTCGTCTTTCCATCTCTCGTTGAGCTGTTTCCCTTTTTGGAGTGATGGCATCTATTTCGTCAATAAATATGAGGCAAGGGGCTTTTGCCTATATATTCGACAATATGGATTTCAATTAGAATTCCAATTACAATCATTTGATAGTTTAGAAAGAAAAATAAATATATAGAAAAATCTAATATTTACTTTAGCTTCATCAAAAACTTCTCTAATCTTTTTCTCTGATTCCCCAGACATTCCAGAGACCACTGAAGGCGCAGAAATACTAATAAACTGTACACCCAATTCCTAATAAAGAAAATTAATTGGTTCAACAAAATTTCTATTATTACAAAATGAATTTAAATAATAATAAAAAATACCCCAGCAATAGCATTGGCAAGTAATGTTTTACCACATCCAGGAGGGCCGTGTAATAGGATTCCTCTATAAGAAGTAATAAATAAATATAAATTATTTTTTTTCATGAGTGATCACCTAAAACACTTCATTCAATAACCTCGGTGGTTGAACGCCAGTGTGTATATAAATCTCTGGATGAGCTAAAGGCATAGCAATCAACTCTAAAACTTCTTCAATACAAGTATCAATCCCTCCTAAGTCTGATAATCTTGCCGTTGTATTTTTAGCATCTACAATTGCTATATTGGTGAAAATTAACCATTAAAAAAAAATTTTTTTTTGAATCAAGAATTTTATCCATACTTATGGATCTTGTGGATCTCCTGTTTTCCACAGTTCCCTTGTTGATTTTTTTAGTAGATTTAATTTTGTCTTTTTTCTCTTGAACTTTATGCACTTCAGGTTTAGGCGATGATTCAGCCGACTGTGGAAGATGTCGAGACCACACTTTTGTAATAGAGTTATTCATGAAATTTGTGTCCTAATGTTGTAAATAAGTTGGATAATTTGGAAAAGACAGAAATATAACCTAAATATAAATTCATCTTTTAATAATAACCTTGACCTCCATCATTTGAATCGGTTCCATTCCTTCATCAAACTCCATTGCTTCCGAATCATAATCATCAGAAGAAGTATCCGAAAATTCCGTATTTTCAATTTCTGAATTGTGAGGACTAAAGAGAATTAGATAAATTAGATAAATGAATCCATCCCAACAAAAGAAAATTGGCACCCACTAACTTTCCGATCTTTGATCCCTTTTCTGATACTATTGCACTTAAAGCCGAAGAATTTTCGTATTGGTCATCAAGCTTTTGATTCTTTAATGATTTCAATACTAATAAATTATATATTTTCGCAATTTTTACTCCCAATTTTATAATGAAATATTCTACTATTATAGTTTTTCTTCTATAATAATTTGTACTCGATGTCTGTGTATACCTCGATCAATGCCTTTCTCTAGTTGCCATTTTTTCATTCGCTTGAATCTAAAATCTACATTTTGAACATATTCGAACAAGGTAGCAGCTGTAATTTCTGCACTATTATTTTCTTGTTGGATCCGTTCTATGTAGGAAATTAATCGATCATCTATATCTTCACTGAGACGCGCGCGTTTTCTCACAGATCTTTTTGACATTTCCTGAATTTTGAACGTGACGATCTTTCACTTATAAAGTCAAAAAAAAAACTTTCGTTCGCTAGTTCCCCTGTGTAACCAATGTCCAATGATGTTCACTAAACTGGAAATCCATTTATATTTTTTCGCCGATCATAAAGTTTACCTTACAAATTCTGGACGTAATGCTATATTAAGTTGGCAAATAATTTTGAGTGATGTATGAGTGAATATATAAGAAAATGACAACAGAAAGGATAGTGGGATGTTTTCGAAAAATGGCAAGTGAAAAACACCAAAAAATTTGTTCACCTTCACAAGTGATATTGATACTGAAGTCTTCCAACTTGAAGGAGAAATGTATAAAAAACTGCCAGAGAAACTATTCCTTATTCAATAGTTTCAGATATGATGCATTTAAAATCTAATATTATGATAGCACAATTGTTAAAAATTTCACAGTACTGGAAAGAATTGAAGAAAATCTTAAGATCTAAATAATAAATAATTAAAAAAAGGGAAGGAAATAATTATAGGCATACACTTATGATGTATAAAGGACAAGTATCTTCCTGAACAATTGATTTAATTATTGACAGTGGATCAATAATTTCTAAGGCTTTTGCAAATCATATAAATCAATGATCTAATAGAATCTTAATTACTGATATGGAAACCAGAATGAAAGTTTAAAAATTATAAATGAGATGTTGTAATCTCTACTAACATGGAAGTCATTAATATCAGAACTTATACTATAGTATTGAAAAATGACTGGTTACAAAAAGCACAAGCAAAAATAAATAGTCTTTCAAGGTTAACAATAAATAATATCAAATGGATTGTAATAATTGATTACAAAAAATACTCTTGGAAATGTAACTTAATCAAAAGATGAAGATAAAATCTTCTGATGGTAAATATGATATTGAACTTAATAACTTAAGTCTAATTGTTATTGAAGATGAAAGTCCAAACAATCACTATTATAAATAGAAATTGATTATAAGCCTTCTCTTGAAAAAAATATCAATTTATAAATAAGAAATTTAATTATTGGTTATAAGATCAAAAATATCAACATGAATATAAACATTGGTTTAAAAGACTAAATAAATCCTGTTGATATAATACAAGACTGATTATCAAAAAAGAGAATGTAAACAATATAAGAAAAATTATAAAAAATAATATATCTTATAGTAATACTTGACAGAATTAATGAATTACAACAATATTATATCAATTCGTAATGTTACAATGTCACAATTAAATTACAATTATATCATAATATAATTATATATAAAATCAAAAATAATTATCAATAATTATTATACTGTATATAAACTTTTTTAATTTATAAGTAAATATTAAAAAATGATATTAAGTAATCTTAAAGATAAGAATGAATCACATATTATATAAAAAGAAGAGAGATATCATCAAAATTGAAAGAATAATTAGTAGATAATTATTTTTTCTTGTCAAATAAATACAATTTCTTTTTTAATATATATACTATACATATTTTCAAAATTGATTTTGGATTTTTGAGATATTTCAACTTTTTGAGATTTATGCAGAATCTATTCTATATATGGAAATAAA